GTTGTCAAACTTTACAGCATAGAGTGCAGTGGCTGCAGTATGTGTTGGGGATGATGCTCAGCTACTACCACACCAAACTGGAGTTCAGTATCTGAATAACTGGGTGAGTCATAACCATTTTTGTCTTTAAGGTTGCTGCAGCCATCTTGAATATGTGGAAATGCACAAAAAGACATGGGCATAACATTTTTAGCGCTTTGCTTTGGTCTGAATATCAAAAACTGCCTGACAGAAAGTCTAAGAAATAAACAAGTTATCAAATAAACAAGATATTGACAGGACACTCAAAATTCCTTGATTGGATGCAGTGTTTTATTCTGGGATTGATGAGATTAGGGTTGCCACTGAATCAGAAACTGATGCAAAAAGTGAGTAAAAATGTTGAAAAACACAATTTTTTAAAACAAAATATTTAAATTGTTTTATTTATTTTGCTCTTGTTTGCTTCAGTTATGACTTTAAAAGAATTGAATAATTTAATAAAAACGTTTTGGAAGTTAACATAGTGGGGCTTATCTGCAGTTTAAAGTGTAATTATGTTGACAATCCCCTTGTGTTTCCTCTTCATGGACCGGTCATGTGGGGTCTTGTTCAATCCTGTCCTCACATCCACATATTCCAGGGTGATGGTTTTTTTCTGAATAAATCACTCCTGTATCGGGCAGACACAGACGGCAGACACACCCACAGCCAGCAGTTTTGGTTAAGGTCCACAGATCATGGGGCATGTGTGTTTGAGCTGCAGTCCATGCTGCATAAAGTCACAACAGGAACAGATAAGGCCAGACCCAGGTTGGCTTGGGAGCCAAATCCGCAGAAACCCCCCAGTGCTAATCGGATTAGCTGAAAAGTTAGCAGGACGGCCCCAAAGAGACACAACGTTTTTTACTCTTGACTTTTGCGACATATTTTGTTCTTCAGCCTCCATAATCTGCTTCTCGTCCCAAAGCCGCTTCACGTCATCTCCGTCGCAGTAAACAACACATTCAAAGCACCGTGAACTGCTTTTAACCTCGGCATTGGACGACTGGTGGATGGGGGTGGATGTGTGAGTATGAGGGAGGGGGGGTCTGTTCCACCCAGGTGGGGGAACAATGGCAAGCCCGTTGTCTTGAAGGAATGGTTGGTTGAGCATAGCTCAGAGGCGGGAGAGACGAGAAGAAAAAAAACGAGTTGAGAAAATCATTGGTGAGAAGGAGGAGGGGCGCAGGGTGGAGGTGGAGGAGTAAAAGGCTGAATGGAGGCAGCAGGGTGGCAACTGGACTTCTAAAGCTCTTTTCATGCTTGGTCTGTTTCAACCAACGCTGAAAACACATGAGGACACTAAGGTCTAGCTTTGCCTAATTGTTTTTCTTTCTATTTTAAAGCTATTAGATAAAAACAAAAGCTGGACGTCTGTGTTTTGCTCCCACTTAGTGTGTAGCAAAATTTAACTGACCTACATTAATATCTGAAAACTCAAGTTGAGTGGGTGGGGGCGACCACGATTCCTGTTGTTGTTTTTTATTCCCCCCCATCCAGGTCACTGAAGAGGTTTTCAGACTTTTAGGTTTTGTGCAGAAAAGTAACAAATCCTTTTTGATTAGAGGTTAAATGCACTCAACCAAAAAGAGCCAAGTCACAAGTTTTAAGCATAGTCAGTACTAGGGATGTGCGATATGGCATAATATTCATATCCCGATATATTTTGTGATGGGTGGCGGTAACGATATACATCGTGATATGGTTTTGGTATAAAACTTGCAATAGGAATGAAAAAAAAGCATAGAGTGTCCTTTTGCCAGCATTTATTTTGAAAACTGCTATAACACAAAATAATCTGTCAAGAAAATTCCACTACTAGGTCCAGAGAGTTTTTAAATAAAGAACAAATCAAGTATTAGGCTTCTTTCTTGTAGTGCAAAACAGTGCAAAATATGTAGTTTTAGCCATATGTTTTTAACAAAAGAATATGTTGTTAACTCTTAACAGTTTTCAGTCTTCTCACTTAAGAAATGAACAGCAACAGAGCAGCATTTTACATATTAAATAAAGGTTGATTGATTAAAAAAGTGCACACTGAAAATACTTACTGCTTTGCCGTATACGTAGCATCTATTATGCGTCATCGCTGACGCGTTGCGTTTGTTACGCGTCACCGCTGACAACCCGGAAATGTGGGCCAAACCTGGAAATGTGGACCGGTGTTGTGCCAAAAACCGATGGGCTTCCAAATGGCAGCGGTGGGAACGTGCACGGGACTTTACCAAGAATTTAACAGGATTAACACTTAAAAACAATTATTTGTTTGCTCAAAATTATATTTAATTAATTAAATTTTGCCTAATAAATGCACTTTAATGGTCAAATCAGCTGCATTTCGCCAGGGCGGTACAACTGTTTTGATCGTTCCAAACAGCAAGCAGACTGAAGGTGGGGAGACTGGCAGGTCGATTGAGTTTTTAATAGCTGGTGAAGATTCTCAGTCATCCAGGACATGGTAAATTCAAAAAAGTTTACGAAAAAAAAATATAAAGTATAATGAATAAAGTCCAGTTGTTTTTGTCTTGAACTTTTTGAATTTGTAATTATAGCCACGTTTACCTATTACATGATACAACAGCATGCCATACAGCTATTACTACTCTACTGCCATCAAGTGGCTGAAAGTGGTACTGCTCAAATATTATTATTATTTTCGGTCAGAATGAATGAAAACGGTCATATCGCAGCCAAAAAATGGTTTATAAATATGGGAAAAAAATCCTTAAATATGTCACTTCGGCCTGTAAGTCGCAGGGCATGTAAAATAGGCAAAAAACTGCAACTTATAGGCTGAAAAGTACGGTAACAAAATTCAAATTCAAAACCTCTCTGTCAATATATATGGTGCACGGTAGAAATGGTAGACATTTAGCCTATGACAGAGATCTGTATTCTACCGGCTAACCGCAGTAATGCTCGTTGATGATGTAATTGGCTGGCGTGAAAGTATAGTAGAGCAAGCAGGTAGCAACATGGTTGAGCGCGCAGGGGAGGAGCTCATTAAAAAGGCAGGAGCAAAAACGTCTATTATCTGGACCTGGTTCGGGTTTAAACAGTCAGACCAGGAGCAGAAAAATGTTGACAGGCTGGCCAAGAAATACCTTTGCATTCCAGCCATGAGTGCTCCTTCAGAAAGGGTGGCAACATTGGTGCATTGGTGGCAACATTGTTTCATGCCACTGTTCTCTGTTAAAGCCAGAGACTGTGGACAAGCTAGTGTTCTTGGCCGACAGTCTTTAGACTCTAACAAATGCGCTTTCCTAGTCAGTACTGTTTTTTGTTTTGTGTGTTGCCCATTAACCTAGTGTTCGGTTAAGAGAAAAGAAAAACTTATTGGGCTTCTTCGCATGTTTGGAAGAAATTACTTTTACAGATTTTCCAGCTCTCAGTTTGGACTAAGGAGTTTGGACACATGCAAGTTACACATGTCTGTACAATTATAATGATGAACACATTACCATCTAATACAAAGTTAGACTTTAGATACAAAAGTCCCAGGGAGGTTGGGAGTGTTAGAAGTGGGTGGGGGTGATGGTGTATCAGTTCTTGTATCTCCCCTGGCTGCAGTGAATTGGTCTCATGTGAACACTTACGTTTAATGTGTAGATATATATATATAAAAAAGTTAGGGTAGTGGGGTGTCCTCCTTGGAAAATATTCCTGGAAACTGTGGTTGGTGCTCTCACCTGCAGTCTGTCTCTGAGTTGTGAACACTTCAATCACCTGCCGTGTATCAGACAGCAGGCCCCGCCCTGCTCTGCTCCGACTGGGTCAATCTGTGGCTCTGGTTCTTTTTATTTGTTGAAAGCAGCATCAGTTTAATCTCTCTATCATCACTGGATTGGATTTTTTAACACATAACCATAACAAAACAAATGTTCCCCCTCAGTTTTAAAAATCAGTGGGTCTTCAGAGAACTTTAATTCATGTCTATTTCACTTAGTTTTCTACCGGACACCCTCGAGGCGAGAGCCGTTTGTCCACGATGAAAATAGGTTGTCTCAGACAAAACGGAAACCGCTTATGTTGACCCCTGATTTACATTCACCTTTCCACTTTTTACTTTTAATATTTGATTGTCTGCATCTTAATTAGCATCTTCTGATAATTTTCGTTTTGGACGATGGGTTCCGTTTAAGCCGTAGTGCTTTGCCGTTCGTTATGTTTATTTGTCACCGCAAAAGATAATTATCTATTAACAGTTATTCTCCTAACTTACTAGAATAACCTTTAAAAATGAAGAAGAAACTAAATTAATTTGTTTTTCACTTTTACGTAAACAATTGAAGATGGAATAAAACAATGTCACAGAAAGAACCAGTCTCCGTTCTGTCTTGTGTGAACAAAGTCCTGCTAGCGTATGACTGAAGGAAATTAGGTTACACTACACTGATGATCTCATAACACCTGATGGCTTCAGACTGAGAAGAGAGGGGGGAAAAAGGACCTATCTATACCATCCTCTGAACCACATCAAACTGAGAAACGCTGGGTTTTTGGTGCCATCCTTGTTTTCATTTGTAATTGTGTGAATGGACCCCTATAGAACAGCAGCCAAGTTCAACATGGCTGAAAGAGCTCTTGGCAGCCTGATTGGACAGCCCAGTGTCAAACTGGACAGCCTCGTTTCGCCTGCATTCCCCCAACGATGCCAAGGGAACTGATTTTTCTGGCCAAGATGTGGGTTTGTGGTTACAGTCAGCCGGGCAGAAGAAAGATGAAAATGATGCCATGTGGACAAGAAGCCTTTTTTTCTTTATTCAGCAAATATGGCAGCTTATCTTCAGACTGGCCTGGGAAGAGCATCTGCCAACCGCAGTGCTTTGAAAATTTAAGTTAAAGGTCAAATTTTGTAAGAACAAAGCCACAATCAAGTGGCTGTTTGATTTAGTTAAGTGTTATTTATGATGGATGTATGGTTTCTGAATAATGTGGAGGAAATAGAGTTGATTTATGTGCATTTTTGTGTCTTTCAGCGTGGGGCAAACTGGAGCTGACTGTAAATGACAACCTTGAGGTGTATCTGGGCGACTCGGCAGAGATCCCTTGCCATTACAGCTTCACTGATGCAAACAATGAGCCCAGCTTTGTCATGATCAAGTGGATCCAGTGGTTTATGGTGAGTAGAGCTGAACACAGAAAAGACGCTGCCCACTTCCCATATTTCAGATGTGTTGCTCAATTTGGATAAAATCAAAAGATGATCTTACATGAACATTTTAAACAAAATTGTACATTTAACCCATAAAACTAACCCCATAAACCAATATTTTATTGACCATAAAAATAAAAATGGTGCACTTCACATGTTCAAACTAAAAGAAAAATTAGGTAATGTTGAACTTGATGGCAGGAACACATCTCAAAGTTGGAGCAGATGCATGTTTGTGACACAGTCGCTCTTCTTTTAACAGCAGTCTGTAAACTTCTAGGAGTTGAGGAGACCAGTTGTTGGAGTTTTGGGGGAGATATTGTGCCATTCAGGTCTGATGTAATATTCTAGCTGTTTAGCTGTCCTTGATATGGTTTGGTTTTATGGATTCGAGCAAGACTTCAGACAACAGGAATGGTTTAAAGGTTTTATGCATAAAACACTGTTGGTGGTGGTCAAGGTCCTGGAGCAAGCCCAATCTGCAGAGATATGCAAAGTTAGTGGACTGACAGTTTCTGTGAGCAGGCAGATAAACAGAATGACAGCCACCAACATTCTTATGGAGAATAGGTGAGCGTTTCCTGAAGGGGTCGGGCAGGATGACGTCACCGGAGCTGACAGGTGTACAGCTGAAGAGCTGGTTGGAGCAGAACGGGGTCCAGACTAATGTTCAGAGGCGAGAGTCGGGTGGAGAGCAGGGGGTCGATACCAGAGAGTAGGCCTGTCACAATAACAAATTTTGCTGGGCGATTATTTGTCTCAGAAATATCTTGCAAAAAAGATCTGAAGCTCTCGACCTTGACCTCCCTAAGTGGTTTTAAGAATCTGTTGGACTCCTGGCAGGGACTAATGCAGACATGTTCCTGTTTTTAGTTTTCTACATTTGCCTTATAATCTAGCTGTTTTTGCTATTTTTTTGCCATCTTATTTTAATTTGTAAAAATAAATAAATAAATCTGTATGCCTCTTTTATGATTGTCTATTGTTGTTGCTGTTGTCCATTGTTGTCATCATTCTTTAAGAAATCAGGTCTCTCTTGTAAATGAGTCCTCGAGGCTCAATGGGATTAACCTGTCTAAATAAAGGTTGAATGTACGAATGAAAAAATAAATTATTGTGATAAACTATAATCCATCCATCCATTATCTTTTACCCGCTTCTTCCATTTTTGGGTCACGGGGGTCGCCGGTGCCCATGTCCGGCAATCACTGTGCGAGGGGTGGAATACACCCTGGACGGGTCGCAAGTCCATCACAGGGCACAAGGCAACGATAATATTGTTTGAAATTTAACAATTATTAATTGTCAAATTTTAAAAGAAATGTTGATTTGTTTGGTGTGTAGTACCTTTTTTGACCACCTGATGGCAGTATAAGAGCGTTTGAACCGAAGGATGAATAGTTGAGCAGCATGTCTCTATAAGAAAAATGGGAGGTAGGGTCCTTGATGTGACATGGGCTGATATAGTGACATGGCGGACGCTCGGTGATTTAAGTTCTTTAGCATAGCATTTTTCACACAAAACTTTTAATAAAAAATCAGTAAAAAGTTCTCAGCTTCTTTTTGCAGAGAAAAACAACTTTTACACAAAGACACAGGTTTCAACCATGAATTTTGGAGCTCGACAAGACGGAGGTTTATTCCCGAGCTCAGCCTGTTATCTTAGCTCGTAGCTTAACTTCTCAGCTGTTTTTAACGATCCAAAAACGCGAGTTTGGATCGTTAAAACAGATTTTACAGAGAAAAGTCAGTGAAGAGCACCAGAGTTGAGCCGTGTCTTCAGTAGAACGAGAGAGACACAAAAAAACGATAAAGCCGGTAAATGAAAATGGGGTAGATAATTTTCATTCATCATGCGATTAATTTATTTTTTGTTTATTGCGACAGGCCTACCAGAGAGTCAGAGGTCCAAGAAATCCATTTTTGCTATGTCTCCATCTGTGAGACATAGTAGTTAATCCAGAAAGGTGGGTCGATACCCTGGTCAGATGGGTGATAAGGTAACAGACGAGGAGCAGGCAGGTCGAGAATCCAAAAGACAAGCGTGGGGTTGAGACCAGGTAATCCAAGAGAGCTGTGACATGAACACTGGACATCTAATTCCTCAAAGGGTTCGATAATCTGGCAGAGTGTGACTGAGCACGAGGCTTAAGTAGTTTTTTTTTGTTTTATTTCAACCTTTATTTATACAGGTTAATCCCATTGAGCCTCGGGGGCTCATTTACAAGAGAGACTTGATTTTAACAAAGAGTGATGACAACAGTAGGCAATCATAAAAAGCATACAAATTGAGAAGAACAAATAAAATAAAATGGTATTAAGAAAACTAAACAAAAACAGCTAGATTGTAAGGTGATGTAGAAAACTAAAAACAGGAACATGTCTACATTGGTTTTTGCCAGGAACTTAGCAGATGTTTGAAGCCACTTAGAGCGGTCAAGGTCGAGAGCTTCGGATCTTTTTGCAAGATATTCCAGGAAACAGGAGCGGAGTAGGAGAAGGCCCTTTTGCCTATTTCAGTCCGCACTGAGGGGACACTTCATGTAATAATGTCCTGAGAGCGCACGCTGTAGCTGCACTCACGCAGTGACATGTAGGAGGAGATGTATGAAGGCAGCAGACCAATAAGTAATTTAAAGATGAAAATGTACTAGTGGGAGAGTCTGCATGAATGATGACCAGTTAACCAGTGAATACAGGGTGCAGTGGTGGGTACGGTAGTTACTGCCAGTTATGAATCTTAGCGCACCGTGATAGTCAGAGTCCAACATCTGCAGTGTGCTTGTAGGAGCATTCATGTAAATAATGTCACCATAGTCAGTGGAGGGAAGGAAAGTCACAGTTACAAGGTGTTTCCTAGCATTCAGAGTTAGACAGGATCTATTAAAAAGAAATAAATAAATAACTTTCAGTTTCTTTACCAAGTTTTTGACATGGGGCTTAAAACGGAGATGAGAATCAACCAAGATACCTAAGTATTTGTAAACATCTTACATAACAACAAACATAATCACTTAATACTTAAAAAAATGTCCAGATGACCTGATTTAACCAATTTTGCATTTATCTACCTGCATGATTGAGCTTACAAACCTTTTTTTCCTGTACTTGTTGCCTCCATTACCCGACTATGGATAAGTGGTAGAAGATGGAGATGCAAATCCAAAACGTCTGATGTTTCACTGTTGTAAAATTGTGTTCTGACCATGTCTCCTTCTGCAGAAAGCTGCAGGAAACAGTTCACGGACACGCATCTTCTACAGCGATTTCAGTCAGCAGATAATTGATAGCAACACGGATTACAGCAGCCGCATTAATGTGACCTCAGACCAGAAGGAAACCAGACTCTTAATTCAGAACGTCCAGCTCTCTGATGAAAGGGAATTCATCTGCCAGGTGAATGGGATGGAAGCTGGGAATGTTCAGGGAAAGACCCACCTCAGAGTGTTTGGTAAGGTGAAATATTAATAATAAATATATTATTAATAATAATAATAATAGCAATGTAAAATAACATTAAAAAAAGTTTTTATAATGTCGTTGCTTATGCTGCAACTGTTAAAAAAAACACTAAAATTACTAAGATACTACTTTTTTCTTGGATTTAGCTCCTCCCGAGGCCCCAGTAATCGAAGGTGTTCTTACTGGAATATCTGTGACCAACACAGCGCCATCTAAGGTGGGTAAACATTATCTAGAGAAAACAATATTGAGAATCAGAATTTGATTTCAAGCAACCGATTCATTTAATGTAACCCCAATCCAGGTGGCATCATGTGAGGCTCGAAATGGATTCCCAAAACCCAACATCACCTGGTACAGGAATGGGACGCCACTGATGCAAAGCCATGGACGTGAGTATGAGTCACTTGAGTTTGTCTTGGAGGTTTTTCCTCCTGTTTTTTTTCATTATTAACTACACATCCTCCCACTTTAAATTCAAACTGCATCCCACCAGTGCAGTTCTGGAGCAAGAATACACGTTTGGCTTTTGGTTGACCAAGATGAGATGACTTATGGTCAATGCTTATTAACAATAAAGAACGAGCACTAATGGTTAATTTATGATGTCAAAGCCATGTTGTCTTTTATTATCATATAATTTAACATAGTATTAAAGAAAATAATGTGTCAGCTAATCAAACGGCAGTTAATGAAATGGCTGAGAAATATTTGGCAGGTGCAAAAATCTTAACGGGCAAATAATTGATCAGCTGACAGAATAATCCATCTTCTCACACCAGTAGCTAGTCAGCAAACACTACAATAATCTGTCAGAAATAATAGAAAATTAGAATCCACATTCATTTCTAATCTTTGTCACAACTGTTTGATCAGTTGGTCTTTAATTTAACGCAGACAGAAAAGTCTTTCTGAACAAATACTACCAAATAATCATTTGTAAATGTTTGAACGGTGCCATTGTAGCTACTGCCATAAATTTCAATATCAATGTTGTAATGATCTACACTAATAAGATAAGCCTACATGTTAATGTAAAAACTGTGTGAATCAAAACAAATGTTCAAGCTGCTGTCAGTGGCTTTTTTCGATCGCCGTGGTCTATGGAGGGCACTGCTAACCACAAAATTGCTTCACTAATGCTAAACCGAACAGAAAGAGAAAAAAATTAGCAGAAGCTAATGCTAAAGCACTAACTTTTATCAAACATTGCTATTGCTGACACTGTAAGGCTGTCTGTAATGTGAGAACCACAAATCAAAATGGTTCATAAATCGCAAGTAAAGCATCCATTCAGAGGTGAATTTTCAGAAATTAATCCAGTCCCATCAAAACCAAAGAGGCAGAGCAGAACTCGGCTGTTCTGAAGCAGAGTGATGCATTCAATATGTGTTGTACGTCCAGACCTCGTGTCATTTACTATAATGAATTAATTCACTTTGGCGATCCTCTTTGTAGTTAACTACTTTTATAAACTAACTACAAAGTTTCTGAGCGTCATCAATATTATCTCAGTAATAAATCTGTTTGTTTTAAAGTAAAAATGTGTGAAATGTGTGAGAGAGTCACGTCCCAGAGGCAGTGTGAGCATTGCAAAGCATACTGGGTAGGAATTATGTGTGCAATTTTTCTGAATGTTTACAATGTTTCTTAGTGTGAAAATGGGTTTTTCATGTTATTTTCCTGCTCTGGTTTGGAATTTATGTTAAATTCTCTGTTAATGGCTGTAAACTGACACCATGAGTCTGTTTGAGGTAGATCTGAGGGAGAAATATCACTATGAGGGTGATGATGTCACTATGCCAGTCGCGATAAACAATAAATCAATCGCGTAGTAAATGAAAATTATCGACCTCATTTTCATTTATCGGCTTTATCGTTTCTTCGTGTCTCTCTTTCTACTGAAGACACTGGATGACCAAAACCTCAACTCCGGTGTTCTTCACTGACCCCTCCCTTTCTCTTTTTTCTTTAAAATCTGTTTTAACTGTCCAAAGTCACGTTTTTGGATCGTTAAAAGCAGCTAAGCTGAGAAGCTAAGCTACGAGCTAAGCTAACAGGCCGGCCTTGGGGAAAAAACCTCCGTCTTGTCCAAGCTCCAAAATTCACGTCTGAAACCTGTGCCTTCGTGTAAAAAGTTGTTTTTCTCTGCAAAAAGAAGCTGAGAACTTGTTTACTGATTTTTTTTTATTAAAAGCTTTGTGTGAAAAATGCTATGCTAAAGAGCTAAAATCACAGAGCGTCTTCCATGTCACCATGTCAGCCCATGTCACATCAAGGACCCTCCCTCCCATTTTTCTTAGAGACACGCTGATTGCTCCCTCACTATCCACACTTCGGTTCAAACAGTCGTATACTGCCATCCGGTGTTTGACAAAAAGTACTACACCAAACAAATTAACCAACTTTTCTTCTTAAATTTGACTGACTAATTATTGTCAAATTTCAAACAATATTATCATTTATCGCAATAATTTCTGAAACAACTGATCGCCCAGCAAAATTTGTTATTGTGACTGGCCTAGATGTCAGCAGGTGACGCATATTGTTGCATAGCTCTGCATAGCATAACATGGCTCTGTGGAAATAACTATTTCCTTGTACGCTTTTAGTGTGGAGAACTGTCAGATTTAAATTTAGCAGAAGCTAATTCCCCTAAAAGTTTTCAAAGTTAGCGAAAACGCTAGTCCACTAAATGTAAAGTTAGTTTCGCTATTAGTGGATTAGCCGAACCATGCGCACCAATCACCATGGTAATAATATACTTGTGACTTTCACTGTCTGAATGCAAACTTTGGTTTGTAGGAGGTTTTTGGACACAGAATGCAGACAAACACTAAGACCTCTAAGAACAACTCAAATACTTTATGGCAATATAACTTACATAAACACAGGGAGCACATAGAGACCTTAACTTGTAGCATGAAGGCCAATAATGTACAGTTGGTGAGTAGTAATAAAAACCTCAGACAACATCAAAGTGCAATTTCAGACATATTAAGTCCAATTTTCTGTGAGCTGTTTAAACTTTGAACGATACTCCTAACGTGACGTATGTTTGAGCAGCTGAGCTTCAAAGGCCTGGGTTTTCTCATTTGTTTTAGCAAATTCTCATTCTATTGGGGTTTATTTGAGAAGTATTTTTTTATTTGTTTGCAATTTTGGGCTACATTGTTCACCATTCTACTACGAAATGTCATGGCACACTATACTGTAGCAAGCTGCACGGTTTGATGTATCATTTGCATGTTTTAGTTGAAAGTCGTGCAGCAAGATACAGAAGGAAAGTTTTTGAATGCGCTGGTAATAAGGGTGCTTCAATTCTTATGCAGTGGCACCCTTTATTTTACTTTTTACACTTATCTGAACTTATCTAAAGAAGGCTGAGAGAGAATGAGAAAAATTAAGATTTTTTTCTGTTTTTGTACCATCACCAAAAAACATAATAAATACTCTACGAAGTGGGGCTTATGAGCATTTTCTTCTTCGCAAATATCTTTAATGAACGTTCTTCTGCTTTGGTGGTGGTGGTTTATTGAAGCATGTTTACTGTGCTTGTCTTGCTCATGTTGCAGATGTAAACGTGTTGATTCTCGTCACCCGGGAGTCCAGTGGGTTTTACTCAGTCCAGAGTACGCTGGAGTACAAGGTGATTAAAGAGGACAAGGACTCGTTTTTCTCCTGCGAGGTCAGCTTCTCTGTCCCAGGAGCCATCAGGACGATGGAGTCCCACAGCATCAACATCACTGTTCACTGTGAGTCCACGTAAGCTTTTCATACCAGTAAACCACTAATCTGTCAGTAATGGTTTGTGTCTCACATCGGGCGTTAACAGTAATTGTTACAATAATTGCAGACATCCTTCATTTGTTTTCTTCATGTGCAGTTAGTTAAACATTAATGAATTTTGATTGATCTGTTTTACATTAGGAATATATTGTCTGCATATCTACTGAAAACGTAATTTAAATTTTATTTAACAATTTATGCGTATCAAATATAACATTATGACGTTCTTGTAATATTTTTCTTGCATGTTTCTTTTGCTTTCGATTTAATTTAGCTTTTTACATGTATGGGTTAATACTGTGTCAATAAGTTCATCTTTCTATTTATATTTTTGTACATATTTTATTTGGCAGCTGATTGCTGTGTCGTCAATGGAGTCTGTTTTGGTTTTTATATCTGGCTGCAACAGATGCTAATGTACTTGAACCTGCACATTGTTAGTGGAATATTCATAAAACACCCACGTTGCAAATGCTTTAACCAGCACATCCGAAACAGTTCTGGTGATAACTTCTGCAAAACTGAAGAAAGAAAAGCTGAAGAAAGTTAAAGGTTTTAATTCAGCAGTGAATTATTTTATTTGTCCAGCTAGGCTATTTTGCTAACCTTCAACTTGAAGACATTTGCTCTTGACTTGCCTACTTCCTGAACATTTGTTTATATTTAAATACTTGAAGAGTTTGTGTCTTTCACTTAATTGCACACTGTGAAATTCAACATTAAATTTTTTATCATGACCAATATTAAATTAAAAAACTACAGAAGTTTTCTTGTTATATTGACATACAGTTCTGAAATGTGGGTCCACACTCAATATAAACAAAGTTCGCTGCTAAAAACTACATGCAAGCTTATCTGCACACTTCTGAGCGTAAATATATACCAATACCTCAGAGTTGCTCTTCCATGGAAGTTGCCATTGTTGACACACACGTGGGAGTTGGCGGCTGTTCCCAAATTCTGCTTACAAATTTTAAATTTAGAGGCATGCAACGATCGTCACAAGAAAAAAGTGGTGCAAATTTTTGTTTCTGACTTTATAAAGTTTTATTTTGACAAGTCTTCCTGAAGTGTTTTTAAGGTTCAGAACATTTTTGTGATAAACTGAAAAACGTCAGAAAAAGAAGTATTGTTAAGCTCTTATAAACCGAATAAAAATCGCCTTGACATGCTCATTTTAGGAGATGCTTTTTTTAAAATCAGTTAAACTGTTTAAACATGTGCAAAAAGCTACACTTTTTCTTTAAATAGTAGTTTTATCAGTTAATATAACCATGAACAAAAATAAAACCCATGCTTCACACATACAAATTATATTGGCCACAATATCTTGTCATTGCTATTTTGGTTCATTGTTGTTGGAACAGTTTTGTATGAAAATGGTGGAAGGCGATGCCAAACAGAGTCTGTGCTGTCAGCATTATGGAAATGCTCTTGTAAAGTGACTTTAGCAGCTCACTGAATACGCTCTCTTAATTTGATGTTTTTGTGTATGTATGTGTGCACAGACCCCACCACCATGGTGGAGCTGTGGAAGGAGTCGCCCCAGGGCTTGGTCAAAGAGGGGGATACTGTGGAGCTACGTTGCCAGGGTGATGGCAACCCCCCGCCGCCCTTCATTTTCAGCAGAGAACAAGTAAGAATGGACAGCCTTTTCTCACCCGACATGTCCCCGAGAGAGAATGAGTGACACACAAGAGACATGTAGGGAATGTTTTTGATATGCAGAGCTCACAAGGCCCAATGTAGACACGAGTGTGTAAGGTCTATGTAGACTCTGTCAGCTCTGACCCTGCAGATCCAGACTGGGGTCTGAGACCGGAGGCTACAATGATGGGGCTCATGAGCAGAACTTATTCCCATGTCAGACACACATTCATTGTGTGTGAAGAACACAAGAACTCAGCTGATGGCTGTCTGAATGTTTCCTAATTGGTCAGTCACCAAACTTGTAAGTGGTGACATGAAAGAGAAATTTTAGAAGCCATGGAAGACTTTTTGTATATTTATTAAATATGTTCATTTCAGTTCAATACATATATCGTATTTTCCTGCATATAAGTCTCTCTGGGGTATAAGTCGCTTAAGTCAAAAAAAGCATCATGAAGAGGAAAAAACATATATATCAGTAAGTCGCTTCGGCGTATAAGTTGCATTTATTATTCGTCACCACTGACCCGTTGTGTTTATTATGTGTTTATTTAATGGTCAAAACAGATTAATTTTGTCTGGGTGGTGGCCATCCATCCATCCATCCATCCATGCATGCATGCATGCATGCATGCATAATCCACACAAACAAGATGATTTTTTTCCTCTATAAAATGTTTAATATTTTAGCTCTAACTAAAATGTTCAATATTTCTGTACTATAACAAATATTTAGTGCAACATTTTAATGTCCTGTACTGTATTCTGCATTTTGTCTTTCAGACTGATAAGTTGGGATTCCAGTCCTAATATGTAGCCACTTGATAGTCCAACCAAGCCATAGGAATTAAGAATAAAAATGTAACCTCTTGTTAGAAACAACATTTTTCAGTCAGATCATCTGGACAGTTTATTATTTTTGTGCTGAAACGTTTTGCCTTCGGTCCGGAAGGCTTCATCAGTCAAGGAAACACACAACACCCCCAACAGCTTACTCCAAAGTGGAACAAACCAGTTCTGCTTGTGATAAGATATTGTTAGATAATACATTTTATTTGTGGCTTCTCAAAAATATATAGTTTGTGAAGTTTGCTGCTTGTACATAAAATTAAACGTGTGCAAGACTACTTAGAACAGAGTGTAATCCAATGATTGCTTTACTGAGCTAATTCAATACTCTCTGCAAACAACAGCTCTTTCTGCCACATCTTACGAAGCAAACATGTAAATTATATTAACTGTGCAGTGCAAGAGACGTGCATATCTATGCTTAATTTTTTATGCCTTTTTGAAATGCAGTACAAGTTATAGCATCACAGTTACATCATATTCTGTTCAAACTGAACCACCAACAAAAATTGTCACGAAATGTATACAAGGTAATGTGTCCGGTTTGAACCCGGTTATGTACAGTTCAAACTCATTTAATTCATTAATTTTTAAATAACATCTGGTCCAAGACACACAAAGCACGCATTAGTTTCTCCCCCCCCCCCCCCCCGTTTTAGATTTCATGTAAACAGAGTTTAAGTTTCTACGTTTCTGTTGCAGGAGCCAGATGTGGAGTTGGAGAGCAGCGGTGACGTCTTGATTCTGCCTTCTGTTTCACGAAAAGACAGCGGCATCTATCAGTGTCGACCTCTGGACGCCGTCGGCCACGCTGAGGTCAAAGGAGAAATTCAGCTCACCGTGCACTGTAAGAACCGACACACGCACACCGGTCAAACAAACGTTTCCAGAATAAACACTGAGAATAAAAAAAACTGGACCGCTGTTGGAATGCTTTAAGTTTATTTTAATGAGGTCTAACGAAACTCTGTGAAGGAAATTCAAGCTGTATTGCTGGACTGAGTGCAGGTTTCAAGTTATAAATGTATATTTTCTTACTTAAAACAGAAGCAGATGCGCTATTTAAGCAGAAAATGTAACGTAAACCATTAAACGAATTCTCAGCCTCGTGCCGATGTTTGTCCTCTGTCTTGTTTTGGGATGTGTCAGATTTGGACCCAGCAGTTGTCGTGCCCAAAGACTCGGAAGTTATGCTTAAAGGAGAAGATCTGGTTGCAACCTGCAATGCTCTGTCCTCCCTCCCAACATCAGTAGTCTGGCACAAGGTAGATAATGAAAAGACACAAGAATCTAAATATGTAGTGTGTTTAATCATGAATTGTGATGTTTTTTTTAATCTCTGGAAACACCTAGTCTAAATAAGGCTCGTCTTAGGGGCAGATTTTTATCAAATTTATTTATTTAAGAATAATTATTAGTTTAAATTTGCCCCAAGGTTTCTTGTTTACAACGTAAGTTACAGCATTAAACTGTTAATGTTATGGTGAGCTGTGACTTGTTATAGAGGCACCTTAAGATTTTTATGGATATTTTCTGTTTTAATAACAAATCAAGCCTCACTCTGACATATCTGTGCTGACATGTAGTAACATAAGCTAACAAATGCACAACAGTTTAGTATTAGAATATTCACGAGTGCATAACTTGAACTCGTTATCAAAGATTTTCTTCTTTAAACCCAAGGCCTGACCAACATTTTTGAGACGCTAAAACATAAAATGCTTCATTTATTCACATCAAATTAGGTTCCTAACAGAGTTTTGATTAAATATTTAGAGGATGCCCTGTGCAGCAGAAGTTGGCTTCTTATCTGCTCATTTGACCTCGATTCCTGCTTTTAAATAAACTCCTTTTATTTAGAGAAGCGTAGAAATATTCAGTAAAATGATCCAGCAAAGAAAATTGTCCTCAGTGGTGCAGCATTCATTTTGCATATTGGTTTAGCTTCTACTTGATCATTACTATAATTTCCGGACTGTTGAGTGCACCTGAATATAAGCCACGCCCACTAAATTTAAACAGAAAAAAAATATACATATATAGGCTGCACTTGTGTATAAGCTACATGTGTCCACGTTTGTAACATGATGGTTTCACATAGATTATTTTAACTTTTAATTAAATACGTACTGGTAACATACACAAATACGTATGTAAATCTGATCTTAAATGTTTTTTTTTTTTCTGAACAGCGCCTGTGACAGGGCTGGTTAAAAATAAGATAAAATACAGAAGCCTACCAGGAAGTCATTGATCGCTCGCTTCATCTTCCTCCTGCGCACCACAGACATATGTGTATGTAGTAGGGGTTGAACGAGTATATAATTTTTAAACTCGACATTAACATAATAAAACCCGAGTAGAACTCGAGTATTTGATGACGTCATAGATCTCAAGATACAAAAATAAATAAATAAATAAAACCGCAAAAAAAAGGTAATTATTTACAACAACAAAAAAGACCAACAAAACAATGGGAGCGTATATTATGCTCCTACCATTTATCATACTGCAAATAAGTCACAGGAAAAACTAAACTATTAGTTATTATTATTAAACTGCAAAGGTGAAGAAACGTGCAGCAAGTCAAAAACGAAACTTAAACAAAACTGGTTCGGTGGATTGGACCCGGTGTTACACCATACTCTGTGACCTGCAACAGTGCAACACCGCCCCCTACGGTCATACGGTGGTCACATAATAAGACGTCACTACGGACACTCGATGTTAAAATTTTAACCTCGATAGATGTCCTAGCAATCTATGTGTAGGTTACTCGAGTACTCTGTTAATGCGAGGCCTGGTCCACTGTGACCTGTTCAGTAATTTCATTGGTCAAGATGTGTATTGGACAGCTATGTGAGCGCCTAAGTGTGACAAGGCTACATGTTTTGGTGGCATGAAGCTCATTAGCTCGTCAAAAAAGTCCATAAATTAGCTGCAGCATTGTATAAGCCATGGGGTTCAAAGCCTGTGAAAAAAGTGGTGGCTTATAGTCCGGAAATTACGGCAATAACCTAACAGTGAACATATTGTTGCCAGATGTCAATGCTATAAGAAATTCCCTCAAAGGTACACATGAATTTCTGACAAATGTGAAGGAAGCTCGTCAGATCAGAATTGCAGTTGAGAAAGAGAGAGAGATAGAAAGAGAGAGAGATAGAAAGAGAGAGATTTCTCTCCTGCATGTTTAAAAGTGAGCGGATGGAATCACTGACTCTCCTCTTGCTGCCACCTTCAACTCAGTGTTGTTGTGTTGTCTGTGGGTTGTTTTTAGGATGGGGAGCAGGTGGGTCAGGGTAACACGCTCCACCTGCAGGACGCCACCTATGAAACGAGTGGAGAGTACATTTGTAAGGTGACCGTCCCCAGCCTGCCCAGCCTGCACACCAGAGGCTTTGTTCACATCATAGTCCAAGGTCAGTCAGCTCCACCAAGTTTTCTTTTACATTTAATACTTGCCCTGTCATCCATGGACACCCTGACCTGTCTGCAGCCCTGCATACAACAAAACTGCTAGACACTTGGTGTTTTAAGATCATTTTTTTGGAACAATTTTCAGTCAGCTTCCACTTGCTTCAGTGAGCTTTGGCTGCCTGTGACCCTGTTGACGGTTTTCCTTCCTTGGACCACTTTTGGTCAGTCCCCGAAGAGTTACAGCCAAGCTACGTATCATTCCTTCACAGTGTAGCACTAGTTAAAGTAAGCTTTTGTAAACTTTATTAACAGAGGGTTCACTTGCTGCGGAGTATTTTCTCAAAACTCAGACTTTTACATTTGAGCCAGTTGCAGTACGTGACTGTCAGGTGTTGGATTTCCTTTTGGAGTAGAGCTTGTGTCATTTACTTTAACTTGAAATGGAAAGGTATGGAGTTTGAACTCTTTGGACTTCTTGAAAAGCCTGACTTCATGTGCCTTTTTAAGCAAGCGTATGACTTTTAATGTGGAAGATTGGGGCAGGACAGATGAACAGAGAAAACTGTAAAAACTAATTTTAAGGAAGGTGATGTGAAGGCTGACATGACTTCAGTGATGTAATGAGGTTAACACAACAATCCTCTGTATAAAAGTACAGCGATCTTTAACGTTCGCATCTATGATTAAGCAACAGGAGCAGACCAGAGAACAGCTTTTACAAAAGTATAAACTTTTAATGTGACTGCTCTCTTCTAGGTGGTCCCCAGCTGGTGGGTGAGGAGGAGGAGGTGCAGCTGGAGGAGATGGCTGGCAGGATGGTGAACCTGAGCTGCGAGGCTAAAGGACATCCAACACCCAGCATCTCCTGGAACATCGTCGGCAGCCAGGTCTGACTCTGCATGAGTTTATCCTTCGAGCTCGTGTCAAACTTAAGCCACGTGGGCCAAATCTGGCCCTTCTTAACGTTTTATCTGGCCCCCAGTATATCATTATAAAGGGTTTTGATTTGGCTCACTAATTTGTGAAGAACCGAGTCTATCACTTTTCCTTTTGCTTAAAAATTTGAGCGTGCTGAGTGGACTTCTCGTGGCAGTTATCCAAACTTTGAAGCCAAGAAAAATAAGTTTTAAATATTCAGTAATCTTTGATTTTGAGGTGGAAAGAGCAAAAGAGAACATTAAATAAAACTGATCAAAGGCTCTCTGACGAACTTATCTGACGTGATGTGTGTCACAGCACCAGTCTTTTCCTGTATTCTCTTTTTGTATTAAATTCAAATGTTGTTTGGAATTTTTAGTACTTTTCTTAGTGATTTAATGGATTGTGTTAAAGTCGGTTACTAAAAATAAAAAAATAAAAAGGTTGAGGCATGCAAACAAATGTAACATTTTAAATAATAAAAAAATATATATTTATTTCAATTTTACATAAAATATCAATGCGGAAAAGTAATTTGTATTTCTATTGCATCTGAATAATTTGACATTTTCTAAAATCTTAGATTTTTATATATTTTTTCTAATAAATATTAACTGAGATTGAACTATGGCTATGAAAATGTTTTAAAATTTGGCCCCCTTGTGTAACAGAGTTTGACACCCTTGATTTAGATCCTGCCTTTTCTTATAGTCATAGTTAACAAGAGGGGATTTATTTTAATTAACATGCCTAAAGGGGCAGACTTGCTGTGAAAACAGTTGTTTTCTTCTACTGATTTTTTTTAGTGTTAGTTTATTTATTTAAACTTTTTGTCTTATTTTAGATGAATGTCATTAAAAATGTTTAAAGGTTTTTTTTTTACCTGTATGATCCTAAACTTTAATAAATAATCAGATGATTCGACTCAGACTCAGTTGAGTTTGTGCTGATAAAAGTACCGAATGAAACAAGATGGAAAATTAGCAAAAAAGTAGAATCCATACATCAGTTTGACACGATTTAGTTAAAGTAAAATTATAAACATAAAGTTTTGATTAGGAAACATACACAATGTGTGTTTTGTTTTATGTTTTTAAATAAGTTGTTTTTAATTGCACCTCAACGTCGCAGGAAAAAAAAACTTTTTGGTTATGTGTTAAAGCTCGACTAAATTAGATCCATAAACTTGTACTTTCAGTCTCTACTGATCAGTTTTACTTTCAGACAAAAATAGTGAAGAATTAAAATTAATTATTTGATTCCAAAATATGTTTGCATGCTGTGGAAGCTGCTGTAGTAGTTTTGCTGTGTTTTAGTGATATAGACAAAGAAATGTGCATAAAAATAATTAGTGTCTGTTTTTTCCCCCGTAGAACTGGCAGGAAGTGTTGAGCAAAGAGAACGATCACATGAGTCACAGCATGGTGTCGGTCAAAGTCACCTCGGACGTCAGCGCTCTGTGCAACGCTTCCAACGACATGGGCACTGAAGTCAAGGCTTTCAGGATCAAAGCCAGTAAGAATCTGTTTTTATTTCCTTATTAAACTGTCAGTATGAGCTAAAGTGTGTGCACGTTTTACATCATCAACATGTCCGTAAACACTAATTTTGAAAATCGATGTTTTGACAAAGGGCCATTCCAGAATTTTTAAATTCCCTTTACTCATTTAATTCAAGTTTTGTTTCCGTGTAACATTTCTGGTTGTCGTCACAGTCGCAGCTTCAGCATTTTTTAAAAATCTGTCTTTAAAAAAGTTGTAGTCAATTTAAAAATGGTGGTGGGCACAGCTAGCCAAAAAGTTAGCTTTGCTAACCCGTATTTCGCAAACTAAAAAATTAGCTTTGCTAACGCTAAATAGCTCAACTGTTAAAGAATAATGAGCAGAAGCTAATGCTAAACAGCTAACCGCTAAGATAGCGGTAACTCAGTCGGCGTCACACGGCTTCGTCTCCTTCCAGTTGAAGCTGCATCAATCAATCACGTCACATGTACACGTAGTCAGCCAATTATGTGCCTAATGGACTCTTCAAGACACGCCCACAACAGACAGGAACAAGCTTGTGAATTTTGCAAAACCTAATAACTTAGGGGTAGATAATGATGTTAACGGTTTCCAAAGTTAGAGAAAACGCTAATCCGCTTAAAAAAAAGTAGTTCCATTATGGATTAGCAGAACTGTTCCCACCACTGTTACTGTTAATGCAGAGGAGTGTTACGTTTTCTCACTGCATGCGTCTGTAATGAAACTTTAAAATAACGGCTTCTTGTACTGAAGCCTCAAATAAGTTTCCTTTTTTTTTTTTATTGATGAAATAGTTTTTGCAACCTGCATTTTAATGCAAGACTGTCCTGTTTCAATTAATCATTTATGCAGTTTTTTGATTGACACATTGTTGGAGTCTTGTGTTATTATTGCAGTTAAAGGAAAATATGGAGGGAAAATGCAAGAAAACATGTTCTCTTTATATTTTTCTTGTTATTGAATCATTTGGGCTCTGCCATCTTTGATTAATTGATGATCAGGTGGTTGATGTCACTAATAGCAGTTTATATACTGAGGTAGATTTTCCCTCTACACTCCTTTGTTTCGTTGAGGAGAAACTCAGCAGCCAAAGGGAAAACCAGTGTTTACTGATGCACAAGGAATAAAATAAATGAATACATTTAAATTAATCTAATTAATTAATTGAAAGAACACTGAGTACAATGTTTCCCATTTAGTCTAATTAGACAAATAATATTAAAAATGGATCTAAGGATTAAACTTTCCTCCATTTTTAAAGCTGTGGGGTTTCATTGGGTGAATGCATTATGGCACCAAACAGAAAGAAAAAAAAATTGTATAACCATAATTTTGTGCAAGTATTCAGCTAAAACTTTGTAGAACTAATCAGGGCATTATATAAATGTTTCATTTACCTGCTGGACTCAAAGTATGAACACTTGGATACATCAGCTTTTATTAATCATGTCTGAAGTTAAACTAAAAACTTCTGACCACGTTTGGCATGAATCTGATTATTACCACCACAGTGAAGTCGGTTTTAGAGCGAATTAGAGGAATAATATTCTTGCATATTTAATTATTTTTTATTTCATTGAGTTTATTAAACTGTACATCTTCCTACATTCTCTGTGGTAATTAATGAAGACTTCAGTTGAGTAATCCATCGCAGCAAAATATAAGAGAACATCACATCTCAGCCCTGCAGCTCTTCCTCCAGTGAACACTTTATTTCAAAAGAAATGCTGCTGTAATATCTACTTATTGTGGTTTGGGACTCACTAAAATGATGCAGTAGGTTCTGATAGATATCTATATTTATACATAGAATGGCAGCAATTAAAGTTGAAAAAATATATATATTTTTGCAATATGCATGACTGAAATAAAGCATAGCTGCTGTTTTCATTAAAATATGGTTTCAAATTGAGTTTTCTAGTCGTATGCATGGTTTTACTTTGCTGCAGCTTTTAAGGAGCAACATTTTGCTCTTTAGTTATGTAAAACTGGGGATATGTTTTGCAACTGATGTTTCGAATAGGTTAATATTAAAAGGTTTTGCTTTGTGTCCGCACCTTCAGAGAAATGTGGGAGGATTAATCCTCTTTAAATAAAAACCTGTGAGTGTGATTGTTGGGTTTTGGTGAACTCGGACCTCTAAGTCTTGTTCTACTCATTCACAGTTCCCAGGGTCACAACAACTGCTCCCTTCTCTCCCGGTAAGATTATTGCCCCAGAGTCTCTTTTATGTTGCAGCCTTTCTCCAGCTCAAACACTGTCTTCTGTCTCCACGCTTTTTGCTTACATCTATGTGTGACAATGAAGGCTCGGTGAAGAGCATTCATTATTTACAGGCATTCCACTGCACAACTCGTCTTTAGTGGGCTGGTACATCTTTGGGATAGCCTCCGGCTGTATTAAATATTCTGTTTGATTTAGCGAGAAAAATCTCAACACTAGCAAATTTGAGCACGCCAGCCATCAGACGGATACTCAAATCAAACACGCTACAGCAACACTATTTGTTTATCCCAGAATCTTTTAAGTAAAGAGACATAAATAGTGTGGAAAAACACGGTTAATTACTTTGTAACCTCGTTTATTGAGCGGTGGTACATTTTTACATACCTGGAGGAATTGTCATGAAAATGGACGTCTGTTCTGACTTAATCTGAGCAGTCAGTTGTTGGCAACACATCTTCACTGGGCTCGGGGGAGTACATGGAGACTTGTGAAGGAAGAAAATGCAATAAACATTGTGCAGCACATGTAAACATATTATATTTTATTGCTTACCTAAATGATTACTGTGGTTATAATGGCTGCAGTCAGAATGAATTACGTCAGTTTTAAGACCTGAATGAGTTAAACATTTTGTCAGGTTTTACTTTAACAGTGAATGGATTCTGTACTGAGGGACTGATGAGTCTTTTGACTAGACAGGCAAAGATACTAAACTTATTCCTTGGTAGGGGGTTAACGAGACATATCCACATGAGACGGATTCACAGACCAAGACAAACTTTTTATATTTTTGAAGAAAAGAAAAAGGATAAAGAAGCTTTTGCCACAAACTGAACTGATTTCTCTTGTCTGATTTCTCATGAGTCTCTTCTGAATTTTGAACTGAGCTTCAACCGTACATGACTTTCTAACTTCGTATTAAAGCTGAGTGACCTTTAAACTTGGGTATAACAAAGTTAAGTCAGGTCCTCTGGATGGATTAAAACATAAATAAATAAATAAATAAAAAGTTTGTGGAAATGTTTCATCTTTGATACAAAAGTCTTTGTCAGTCCGAGGAGCTGCAGTAACCTCAGTCTTATAAATAGCCCCTTATCAAAGTGGATCCTCCAGTTTGTTGTTGACATCCAAAATAGGCCTGTCGAGCTAAACGATAAATCAATTAATCAATTAATCGCATGTTAAATTAAAAGGAGGTCGATAATTTTCATTTATCGACTTTATCGTTTTTTTCGTGTCTCTCTTTCTACTGGACACCGGATGACTAAAGGCTAAGCTCCGGTGCTCTTCACTGACTCCTCCCCTTCTCTTTAAAATCTGTTTTAATCGTCCAAAATCACATTTTTTGATTGTTAAAAGCATCCAAGCAGAGAAGCTAAGCTACAAGCTAAGCTAACAGGTCATCCCCAGGGGAAAAAAACCTCCGTCTTGTCGAAGCTCCAAAATTCACGGTTGAAACCCGTGCCTTCATGTAAAAAGTTGTTTTTCTCTGCAACAAGAAGCAGAAAACCAGTTGACAGATTTTTTTATTAAAAGCTTTGTGTGAAAAATGCTATGCTAAAGAGCTCAAACCACACCGAGCGTCTGCCATTTTGAGAACTGAAAAAAGGAAGGAGAGACAGCCCATGTCACGTCAAGGAGCCTCCCTCCTATTTTTCTTAAATAGACACGCTGCTTGCTCCCTCACTATCCATCCCTCAGTTTAAACAGTCTTATACTGCCATCCAATGGTCTAAAAAGGTACTACACTTGAAACAAATTAACCAACATTTCTTCTTAAATTTGACGATAATTACTAATTATTGTCAAATTTCAAACAATATTATCATTTATCGCAATAATTTCTGAGACAATTAATCGTTCAGCAAAATTTGTTATCGTGACAGGCCTAATCCAAAACTAGATGTTCACATGATAGAGGAGGACCATCAGCCTAACTTGCTTGTTAGTGCCCTGATGGCCGCTTGCAATTCACATTATTTTAGTCCGTCCAGAGGACCTGACTTAACCGTGTTAGATTTTTCTACCTGGATTATTGTGCATGCATCAGGAAACTTTAAACTCAGGGGGTCAAAGTCAGTTTGGGACAAACTTTTTTATTATTTTCTTGAACGTCCACTTCAAAGTTTGACCAGCTCTTTGTCTTTCAACTCAAACAAATGAATGCGAGATTCAAACTTTTATTTTCTCAGCTTCAAAGTTGACAAATTGAGTAAACTCAGAGTTAAGTCGGTTCTCTTTTAAATAAATGTGCCACAGACTCTTCCTCTCAGCACAAATACAGGAGGTCTCGCCAAAAATGGTCCCCAGTAAAGTCTGGGATTGTGCAAGTTGCCATATATCTGCTCAGCATCATTAAATAAAAATAAGAAAAGTAGTTAAAAGACATCCACATCAATATTTTACCTCTAATATGCAGAACCTTTAGCTCGTGCACCACTAGAATCCACAACACAACTGTGATTTTGGACTTTCAAAGCTGGTGCCAGTTTACATGAGTTGGAACAGTGACTTTTTCGAAACAATCATGGAGACGCACACATTTTTGTGATTTAAGCCACCAAAGGTTTGTGTCTTCAGTGATTTCATCCATATTATGTGTCCGCTCTTTCCCGCTGTCATGTCCTCTTCTGGTGATGGATTAAGCTGCTGATGCTGCTCTATAATGTTTTCATTTATGTTCTTGAGTTTATGTTGTCATGCCTGCTTTCAGAAGCTGTTGCTACATGATGTGAGTCACTGCCTGAATCAGTGGAGGTGGGCCAAAAGGTTTACATCAACAAAGAGTTTGTGTTCGGAGAGTTTGGATGAGGCCACTGGACAGTCAACTCTTTTTTGTAGTTTAGCTTAATATTCAGCACAAAATCAAAATTTTCACAAGTAATTGGAAATTGGTTAACAAATTTAAGCAACGTACAAGCTCCAGAAGTTTCTGGGTTTTATAGAATGGTGCAGGATTAGAAACATGAAGGTCATGATGGAGAAGTCTTCCTCACTCCTGTCTGAGCAAGCATGACTCACATCCGGCCGAAACAGATCCACCTTCCTGTCAGTCCAAGAAAACACATTTTTGGTTTTTACATTTCTGTTTTTCTTCTTTTTTTAAGCAACCCACTCTTTGTGGTTTGCACCAGCACATGCATGCTCAGTGTACACACTGTATGTGGTCATGGAGTATAAGTACGGGCGATGGTTATTTCTAAAACACTGCTCCTAAATTTACCCTTACTGACAAATATGTGGTCCTTTAACACTTTATGGACGCATCACAGTAAAAGCTTTTACAAGGTTTTCTTCACAGGTTTGCTTATCTCTGATATATATTTTTATTTTATTTTAAAAAGTTTAAAATTAGATGTTGGATGAGGTTTTAATTGCACAAGGAACCATCGAGATGTGAAACCACCGGTTGTTCACAGCCCATTCAGTGGCTCTGTGTTTGGGTTTTAACAATCTGCTTTACATTTTATGCTGAGAAGCCAAGAAAAGTGAATTTTCCCTGTAATGATGGAGCAGTGATTCTAAAAACACTCATCAATTTGCAAATACACACTGAGAGTACACATACTTTACTGACTTCCTGTCATATCTGTTGCAGCTGTTTAGCTTTCAGGTTTCAAATATTGACATTTCTGATGATTATGGGATTATCACTAACAGTTTCTCATATGAATAACATAAAATGTGAGTGTTTATTATATATATATATATATATATATATATATATATATATATAAACATTTTAAAGAAAGACCCCTCGGCTAATCTAGGGATGCACGATATTATCGGCATGGTATCGGTATTGGCTGATATTAGCGATGAAGTGTAACATCGGACATTCCATCAAAATAACTCACTGATATGAAAGGAGCTGTGTGTATGTGTATATATATATATATGTTGCACTATTTTTATATGACAACCCAATGACAATGATGCCTGCAGTGCCAGCACAACGTTATGACATTACACGCGCTGTTGAGTTTAAATTTGTGAAAATGTACAATTTGGCACTGTTCGAGTGTTGTCATTGTGTTAGAGCAGGGATGTGAAACTCTCTTACAAAAGGGGCCAAAATTAAAACCTTTTTCAAACTAAGTGCCAGTTTCAGAATCTACATTAACTCAAATCAGATACCCGACATCGTTTCTTGGTTGCAGTTTCCTCAACAAGAGTTTGATTGGTCTCATTTGATGTTCTCCGTTGCACTTTTGACTGAAAAAAGTTAGTGAAAAAAGTATTTTACATTTAAAATAATATCTTGGGGGGCCAGATAAGATGTCATCGAGGGTCACATTGGGCCTTGCGTTTGACACATACGTGTTAGAGAGAGTAAATGTCATGAATAAATTTGACATTAATGAAGTGTTGCGTCATTTTCAGCCCCCCTTTTTGTCATCTGCATTTAGTAGCAGGCCAAACTGACAAAGACCATGCAGAATAATGTAGTGTTTTAATTCCACAGCAGAAAAAGATATGTAGTCTCTGTAAGTAGATCTAGGAGAAACATATCGGTATCAATACTTGTTATCAGCCAAATAAGTTGTAGCATATCGGATATCGGCCAAAAATCCAATATCGTGCATCCCTAATTTAATCAGTCGTGTCTGTTAACAGACTTACAAACGTTAAACGGAGCCAACAAACAGGAGTTCAGAGAAAATATGTCATTTTTCTATCCAAGAATCCCCCCCGCACACACACACGCACAACACACACCCCATTTATTCTTAAGCTTCATCTTCAGAAAACCGCAGCAACAGCTTTTACTTTCTGGATGCATAATTTTTATTAAAATTAAGTTTTAATTTGATCTAAATAAAGGCTACAGGTCACAGTGAGTGAGCAAAATAAATTGCATTTTTCTGTTCTGCAGCCTCCTTTTGCTCTGGAGTTGTAGTGAAACAGACATAACGTTTGCTCAGATAATTATTTCCGGTAAAAAAAAAACACTAAACTAAGCCACTCAGCGGAAGAGTCGAGGGAAACTAGAGCAGGCTGTGGATACAGTTTCTTCACTAAACAAGTTTTAAAGTGAAATAACAGGAAGATTTTGTGGGATCTGGTCAATTGTTTTCTACAGAGCAGTGCATCAAAATTATTAAAAGCCACTTTAAAAGTTATGGTTCTGTAACGTAAAGCAAAAGATTTGGAGTTTGGGCTTGTGAACAGTTAATATCTTGTAAGCGTGGTTAATGTGTTAATGGTATTTCTCTCTCCGTGCGTGTGTTTGCAGTTGAAGGCAGCGGTGTGATCATAGTGGTGATCATACTGTGTCTGCTGCTGCTCGCCTTCCTCGGCAGCGTCTTCTACTTCCTGCACAAGAAGGGAAAGATCCCCTGTGGACGCTCGGGCAAACAGGAAATGTGAGTGCGGTCTCTCCTCACTCTGCTTCAACAACTGGATTTATTTTTCTCCGCGCCACCGAACACTTAAACCAGCAGGCTAACGGCGATAATTCAAAACGTGCTGCGTCATATTTATTACAGGGAACATTTCTCTAATAAAAGGGCTGTAGTTGTCTAGAATGTGAAGATGAATTTATTTCACTCAAGGGGCCTCTTGTAACTGCACTCCAGTAGTTTCGGCTTGTTTAGGAGTGCTTGCACTTTACACCAGGATTCTGTTTCCTGTTGGACACTTATCCAAACGCAGTACTTTTAAAACAGCTGCTTATTTACAGGAAGCGTAAACGATTACACATTTCTTCATAGAAAAACACTCTTTTTTTTCCAAATCTGAGCATTTTCTCCTCCCCCTTAACTTCCCCCTCCCCTTAGACCAAGAGTCTGGGTGGCTTCCTCCAAAGCTCACTGTCCTTCACGCCACACATCAGTAACGTCACTCGCTCTGCTCGTTTCCTCCTTCGTAACATTAATCGTCCTTCTCTCAGCCGCCCTTGTCCACAGTCTTGTGAAGTCCCGGATCGATTTATTGTAACTCCGTTCTTTTTGGCCTCCCCATTAAATCCCTTCACAAGCTACAGATGGTTCAGAACTCTGCTGCCCGTGTCATCACCCAAACCTCCAATAATCACATCGTACCCGTCCTGCAGGAGCTTCACGGCTCCCGGTTAAATCTTGCATCATGGTCAAAATTAAATTCGATTCAAAACTACTTTATTAATCCCAAAGGGAAATTAAGTGTTGTCGTAGCTCATCGTCCTGGTTTAATTCGAGTTGTTCTAGATGCTGTGAGCAGGAAGGATCTCCTGCAGCAAATCTGAAGAATCTGGCCACAGATACCGATCCGTCCACCTGTACTCAGCTTGCTGTCAGATCCGGCGAGCCTATCGGTTCTCCTGGGCAGCAGGACTGCCTGAATGCCAGGCAGAACTCCTCCCCGAGCGATGGTCACTCCTCCCAGCAGTCTGCCGAGCTCCTCGTTACCTTGGACAGACAGCTGTAGGTGCCGGGGGATGATCCCGGTCCTCCCGTTGTCTCAAACCAAGTTCCCCACCGGCTCCAGGATCTCAGAGGTCAGGTGTTTGAGTGCCGCCAGGTTGACGGGAATTTGTCCACGGTGCTTCCTTTTCAACTCATTTGGGATATGGAAATTCTTTGCACTTTTAAACCATCCACAATCTCGCCCGTATTTCTTTATCTGAACTTCTGCAGATCTCCATCCCCTTCTGCTCCCTCAGATCTGCCTCCTCCCTGCACATCTCTGTGCCTCCTGCCCGCCTCACCTCCACGGGGAGCAGGGCTTTCAGCCGCGCTGCTCTTCCACTCTGGAGTTCACCTCCCTCTGACCTATGAAACGTCACCTCTGTGTTCAAAACTGGTCTGATCTGGTCCATCTCTGTAGATCAGCCCTTCTTAATTTAATCGGGTGTATTTTCTGTTTTAATGTTTTCATCTCAACTCTTTTGCTCCTCTTTTTTTTTTCCCTGCTATATACAGGTGATAGTTTTTTTAGCTTTACAATGTCCTTGAGTGTCTTGAAAGGCACTTTTTAAAGTAAAACGTTTTATTATTGTGTGAATGTTTATGAAACATTCACACTGTTGTGATCCGTTTTTCTTCCGTATGTTTTTCAGCATCTTTCTCGTTCCACAATTTTTGTGCTATTTCAACAAATCATAAATCAAAACGTTCAGCTCGTTCAGGACAATCCTGCTGTGACTTTTGGTATTGGTGCAACTTTAGCTTTTTGAAATATTTAGCTTTTTCTGCCACTTTTTTCCAAATAGAAAATGAATTGAGCTCATTTGACATCCTTCAGATCTTTAGATCTGTTTACAACCTTTTACTGCTCCTTTCACATTTTGTTCTGGTTCAGCTTCTTTCAACTTCCTTGTGCAATTATTATTTTTTTTTATATAAATTCAGCTACTTTCAGCTACTTTCAGCAGTTTTTTCAGCGGTTTTGTTCTCCTTAGAGGATCTTTCTGCAAATTACAATATTTTTGAGCTTTCTCTAACTTCTTTCTGCAAGTTTCAGCATTTTCTGCTATTTCAGCTACTATTTAGCTGTTTTATGCTAATTGTAACTTTTTCAGGTAATTCCACATTTTTTGCAATAATTTCAACTTTTTTCAGCCTAATTCAGCAAAAATGTGCTCGCTCCACATCCTTCTGGTAATTTAAACTTCTTTCTACTTTTTTAACTACTCTTCTTCTGTTTGCTAATTTCAGCTTTTTTCATATATGTTCCCGTTTTTGTGCTCATTACTGCTTCTTTCACCCTAATTGGACAATCTTGTTCTTCCTACTTTCTTCTGCTTATTTAAGCTTGTTCTAACGTTTCAGCTACCTTTTTCGCAGTTTTTAACTAATTTCAGCTATTTTCAGATAAATTCAAGTTTTAATTCATGTTAATTTATGCTACTTGCAACCTAATTAACGTATTTATGCTAATTTCAGCTTGTCATTCTCCTTTCAGCTTTTTTCACTAGTTTTAGGTTTTTTTGCTCTTTCAGCTACTCTAGCTCTTTTGATGCAAATTTTAGCTTTTTCAGCTAATTCCACTTTTTTTTACCTCATTTTAGCTTTTTCCGCTTCCTTTGGGTAGTTTTTGCATTTTCAGCTACTTTTCACCTTTTTTTTTTTTTTTTTTTGTTTTGTTTTGCTAATTTCATCCTTTTTTAAAGCTAATTTTCTTTTTTTGGTGCTCATTTCTGCTTACCCGTACCAATTCAGCAACTATGTGTTCTTTCTGATTTCTTCTGCTAATTTAGGCTTGTACTTCCATTTCAGCCATGTTTCAGAATGTTGTTTTTTTATCTAGATTTGAGCTGTTTTTCTGTAAGTTCTTCAGCAATAAGCCTTCACACTGCATTTTTGCAGGAAATGCAATTTCTCTAGTTATTATTATTAGAAATAATTAGTATAAATGAAATAGGCTTTCCTTGATGCCTCCATCTCACCTATCATCTACCAACAGATGTCATGTAATCTGTTAGCTCTCAAAAGATGTCATGTAATCTGTTAGCTCTCAGAGTATGTGATGTCATGATCTGCAGCTACCACAACAAATTTGATCTAAAAGTTAGTAAAAGTGAAGACGTTAAAGCCATTTTTGTGTTTACTAAAGTTGATTAGCTGTGGTGTCCTCTTGATTCAGGTTGATGCTGAAAGTTAATTTGTAAATGTGCACCCAATGATTACTTTCTGAGAGTTTCATTAAAACCCATGCTTGGCTGTGCACTTGTGGGTTTGTCTGTTAGCAAAATATTTCATGAACCACTGTACAGATTTAAAAACTCTCAGAAAGTAATCATTAAACGTACATCTTTGACATTTTGACATGCAAGGCAGCTGGTGAGGTGATGAGTACAGAAACGAATGACTTGTTTATAGTTTGAACAGGTCCAAGAGAAGCTCGGGAGAAACTAAACTCTGGATGCAACAAGAACAAAACGTGGTTAATCGTTAACTTCTGTTTGAAATAGGAATTTTTAAAAGTCAGTCATTCGGGATTTTGTTGTATTTCACATGTCCGTTCTTTCTTTGTATGAGCAGCAGCAAAGAGAAGACCACCAAAGATGACATTGTTGTGGAGATGAAGACCAACGCAAAGAACGAGGAAGCTGTCCTCCTGAAGGCCGTCAACGGAGAGAAGAAAGGTCCTAATGACCAGGTAACTGTTGTGGTGAGTGAATAGTTTTCATACAACGTCTCCAGACCCACCGCTGTCCCCTGCAGGCTGAAATATTTCCTGCTGAGGAATGTGGGGCTTTCATTTAACCTTTTTCCAGTGGAAGGTGTAAATCAAAATCTCCAGGCTTCTGCTGCTCCAGTGCATTTCACTGAATCTCTCCAACCATTTTCTCTAAAGCTGAATTAAGGGTTCCATGAGTCAGTTCAGCCGTTGACTAATTAATGCACTCACGTTTAACACGGTGCAATTCAGAGCCAGAATATTCAACCAAGGACAAAATGTTGTTGCTCTAATAATTAGGGGGCCGAGATGGTGTAGAGGCAGGGCAGCTGGCTTGGGACCCAAAAGTCCCAGGCTCGATCCCCAGTCACTGCACATCACGTGGTGTCTTTGGGCAGCACACCTTATCCCCAAAATGTCCCCCGGGCGCTTTCAATAGCTGCCCACTGCACCACCTGGTGGTGGATGGGTTAAATGCAGAGACTAATTTCGCCATTGTATGGAAACATACAGTGCTGACATTGTGATGACATTATTATTATTATTATTATTATTAATAGTGTGAATGTTTATGAAGCATTCACACTATTGTGATCCATTTTTTTCTTACATTTTTCGGCATCTTTTTTTGTTCTTTTTTGTGCTATTTCAACAAATCATATATCAAAACGTTCAGCTCGTTCAAGAGAAGGGTGCTATGATTTTTGGTATTGATGCAACTTTAGCTTTTTTAAATATTTAACCTTTTCTGCCATTTTTTTCTCATAGAAAATGAACTGAGCTCATTTTACATCCTTCAATCTTTAGGTCTTACCGCTCCTTTCACATTTTGTTTTGGTTCAGCTTCTTTCGGCTTCCTTGTGCAAATTTAAACTTTTTTCAGCTACTTTCAACTAATTTTAGCTGTTTTTCTGCTTTTTTTTTTTGTTCCTTTCAGGTTCTTTCTGCTAACTACAACATTTTTGTGCTTCTTCTAACTTCTTTCTGCTAATTTCAGCTTGTTATGCTCCTTTCTGTTTATTTCAGCAAATTTCAGCTTTTTCTGCTATTTCAGCTACTCTTTAGCTGTTGTTAGCTTTTCAGGTAATTCCACATTTTTTTCCACTCATTTAAACTTTTTCAGTCTAATTCAGCAAAAATGTCCTTATGGCAATTCTTCTGTCAGCCTTTTTTTAGCCACTTTTGAGCTGTTTTTTGTTAATTTAAGCTTTTTTCAGATAATTTCCACTTTTTGTGCTCATTTCTGCTTCTTTCAGCCTAATTGGAAAAACAAGTATTCTTCATACTTTCTTCTGCTAATTGAAGCTTGTTTTTTCCTTTTCAGCTACATTTCAGCATGTTTTTAGCTCATTTCAGCTGTTTTCAGCAAGTTCATTAGCAATAAGCATTCACACTGCATGTTCACAAGAAATGCAATTTCTCCATTTACTTTTAGAAATTCAATAAGGAAATATTAGTAACTGTAGAATACTTTGGGTAAAGAACTTTAGATTCAATGCTCTTGTCAAGAGTAAATATTTTGAAGCGTTCCAGGACGTTTGCAGATGAAGTGAAGAGTGTGCAGAGAACATGCAGGTTGTAAACAGACTGCAGCCAGATGAAGAAACCAAAACTTCAGAGCTCCTTGTTGACTGTAAAAACTTGTAACAAGCTGTGATATTTGCCGAAGGGCTTTTACTCATCAACATGTATTATAATACCAGTTGTAACAACCATCCTGGCCGACCCTGTTTGTAGGAGCTGCCATGTTGAATTTTTGAGACCAGCGTTTGTGCAGCAGCTTTGTGGGGCTTTAAGTCCCGCCTACTATGATGTCACATGACCTTGTCAGTAAGAGACCGTTTGTATTTAAGTTCTCCTTCCCTTATTTTGTTTTTCTCAGGCCTCATTAATGCGGCAGAGTTCTTCTAACACTCTTTGGTAAACTCCCCATCAGAGAACAAATTGTATTTTTTTACAGTTTTATTATAAGATTTCACAAAACTAGTCTTGATTGCTACATTCCTGGATGTGTAATTCTTGGTAAAAAGGGTTTGTTGTTGTTTTTTATAGTCTGAGCAGCAAAACTTCTGTCGTCGTGTGTTTAGTCTGATTAGACTGATTCAGTTTACAATCTCTAAAAACAATGTTCTGTGTTTCACAACGTGTGCCACTGACTTCAGTAAATAAACACTTAGAAGCCAATATGTTGTTAAAACTCTACATTCTGGATCAGTTCGTGTTTCTTCTTTTCTCTTTACCTGGTGTCGATGTTATGGCACCTCCTAAATCTCACAAGCTGGAGAGACTCTGCTGTTTGCGCACACCAAAAGAGAAGTGAATGTCCACTTGGCTTCAAAATAAAGGCGCTACAAAAGCCAAAACACACGTTCATAGAGTGCCTTTAAAAAGTATTCACCGCTTGAACGTTTTATGTTTTTATCGCTGTCATAAATCTGCTGTGGTTAATAAAAACATGCTTTCTTTAAATAAAATATAACATCTTAATCTGCAGAGTAATAACAAATAACTAAAAATAAGTACAGTAGTCCCTCGATTATCACGGGGGTTACGTTCCAGACACCCCCGCATTAAGTGAAAAACCGCAAAGTAGGAACGTCATATTTATTTTAGTATTTATATACATTTTAAGGCTTTATAAACCCTTCCCACACTCTTGCAATGTTCTAAACTCTTAAACCTACGTAATTTTAATAACATGTATATATACTGTACAGTACTACAAAGTTTTATATGGATACTCGCCAGCCTGGGTCCGGTTCTGATGGGCTCTCTGCAGCCATTGAGCACCAGATGCTTTTGGCGAGAGCTGGACCTTCGTAGAGCCAGCACAGAACCACACAATGGGCCAGATAGAGTCCAAATAATCCAGAGGGATCCGGATGAAAAAAGTCCAGGTGAGCTCCGGAGAAGACACCGGACCTCCAAGCAAAGCCTGTCCACTCAAGAGGCTTCATGGGCCGGCACACAGCACTCAGATTGACCGATGAGGCTGGGAGTACGGTAGTTCTGGTCCGGTTCTGGTCCAGTTCTTATTGGCTCTCTGCATCAACTGAGCGCCGAAGTCATTATGAATAAGGACCAAACTTTTTAGTCAGGTTCGGATCAGATCAAAACTTTTCCTCCATTTCAACAGAAAGCAACTGCCAGTAGCACTGTTGGCTTCTGGGTAATGTAGTTATTTTGGTCAGGCGATACAGTATATAGGCTTATTGAAAGAAAACTACAAAATGGCAGTGCCTATCTGAAGTATTTTTTTGTTAACTTTTTATCTGTACCGTCCCAATCACGTGAGTAATATTAAAGTTGACAATCGTTGAAAGACCTTGAAAGAGCGACTCCACGAAAGTCGAACCGCGAAGCAGCCAGGGACTACTGTAATGTAAAATAAACGATTTGTACAATTAGATCCTCCACTTTTTTAAAGTGACTCCTCATTCAACTCAGCGAAAAGATGATTAAATGGTACAATTACAACCAAATATTCAACAAACAAGCTTTAACGTCCTCCTCTGTCCTCGCAGTAAAACCCTGATGGTTGAGCAGCGGCGTGCAGCAGACAGCCGGTCGCCTGCAGCAGCAGTCAGTCTGTCGGCGCTGAGGAGGCCGAGGACGCTCGCACTGACCTGAGACCTGCTGACCACCACCTCCTCACAGTCTGGACGTTCCTCCACATCATGCTTTGATCTCAGCAGTATTCATCCGTTGTTTTTCAAGACGCACACACACAAACACACACGTATATGTCCGTACAGATGTGTATTTTCTTGAATGTTTGCTTCAACGTTCAGTTTCTCATCTAGTTTCCAGCTGCGTTCAGCTGTTGTTTAGTGTTTGTATGATCTGCATCATTTTTTTTTTTTATGGAAGTGTATATATTATATATATTTTTTGCTATTTAAGACATTTTTGGCACTCAGATTTTCATTTCACGGCAGCGTCTGCTTCGTGTTTGTTGCTCATACGTCCAGGTGAGAACCGAGACAGGATGTGATGTCGGAGACCAAATGCTTGTTCCGAGAGATTTGACAGCGTGTATGTTTAAACTTTTTTTGCCAACATTTGTAGAAACTGGTCTTAAATTGAACCAGATGGGAGTTTTTTTGCCCCCGAGTCAATACCATGTTTGAGTGTTTGGAGTCACTGAAGTGAACCTGCAGGATAATCAGTTGTTCCAAGTAGAAAAAGAGACGCCTTCTGTTCAAACTGCTGTCGAGTTCTTGTACTGTTTGTAAATACGTGTAGTTCAGGGACCTGCAGGAGGAAACCTCGGACTGTTACTGAGGCCGACGGGTCAGGGTTAGAAATCTGCCGTGCCTGGTTTTTGACATCGTACACTGAATTTGTTTGTCTTAAATCTGTTTATTTTGTGTTGTCACTGAGAGGTTCCTGCCCGAAGAGGCGTCCCAGTGTTTTTGCATGTTTGACAATTTATCACGATAAAATCGACACAATGATCACTGTGCTGGCTGATTACTTTAACGCCGTCGCATTTAGGGTTTCGTTTGTCAACAAAAAAAAAAGTTTGTGCACTGTATCGGGTCCATTCAGGAGGAAAAACACAGGAGTTGAAAATTTACTGACAGTAAAAAGTGCAAATATTTACAAAAACAAAGTGAGTGTTTTTAACAGGAAAAGTCTGGATGTTATTAATTGAAAAAGGTCATGTTGGGGAAAAATGTTGTCTTTTAAGACTAAACTGAAGGAAGTGAACCCCACTGTGTTACTGAACCTGACTGTATTTGTTCTGTTATATATACTTATTGTATCTGAAGTTTATGAGTGTACTTTTACTAGGTTAATAGCACACAGTATTTAATTTGAACCAGTCCAAGTTGTGGTTTATTACTCCCACTGCAGCAAAACTAAAAACTTGTTTCAGTTCTTCAGAATAAGAGACTGAAAGATAAACACTGAACGATAACCTCAAAGATCTTAACGTCTGAAGCTTCAGACATTAACTTATATTAATGTTCTTCAGGAAAACGGATCCTGCAGCCCAAACCTGCAAACATGTACACATATTTAGAAGTTAACACTCTTGATGTGTGAGAGAGACTCTTATTGTGAAGGACTAAAACAAGTTCTGCACGCTCAACCAAAATATTGCTTTTTTTTTTTGTACTTGGAAAAGCAAAAGTGCACCCACAACTCTCAGAAAGAAGAATGATTAAAAAATAAAACTAAACAAATTCAGTCCGGTTCAGGAGCAGAGTCCTCTGGTTTATTTTAGAAATTTTACTTTTTTTTTTTTTCAAAGAATGTTTCCACTTTTTTATCCCTTCTGAGTGGTCAAACAGATCTGACTCAGACAAGAATAAATAAAAAAAAAGCAATCTAAAGTTATTTAATTTTCTAAAGTGGGTTGCTAGAACCATCAACAAACTATTAAACCCATTTACGTTGGATATTGTACATTAATTCTGTTCTTTGTAACGAAGACGTTCTTGATTCATTAACCTGTATAAATAAAGGTTGAACGAATAAAGGACGTCTTCGTTAAAAAGAACATCAGAATTAATGTACAAGCGTCGTAAACCGGTTCAATAGTTTGTTTGAGCTTATTCTCATTTCACATGCCTGCGTGAACACACACGCTGGTTCATGTCTTTAGAAAATAAGTTAAGACTCTTCTGGGTTTTTTTTTTTTTTTTGAGGGCCGACAGGCAAGAAGTTTATTCAGTGACCTTCTGGGTTTTCCAGGAACGGTCAGAGAGTCATGTTTCAATAAAGCGATTGTTCAGCTCTGAGTCAGATGTAGTTATGGTGGATGAACCACAAGCTGGGCTTAATCTAAAACATGCAAAGAAAACATACAAAAACACTGCTGGGCTCCTTTAAAGGCCTGACTTGTAAGTAATTCTCACTGTTTTTTTATTGTGAAGTTTGTTTTTTGGTCTGAAAGTGCTACACTGCCCTAACGACTTGCAAAGTTATCAAAGTAGCAAAACATTTTGTTTTTGTTCCTTTTTGAGTGTATATATTTTATATATTTTCCCGCTGATAATCGGTGTGTGGACAGGAAGTGACATCACGGTCAGAGGGAAGATTTCTGTTTGGACCCATGAATCTGCACCTCGTCTTGAAGTCCGACGTCCTCGTTTGATTTTATGGACTTATTTGTTTCAGCGATGATAAACTTAAGTTTGAAACGGACTTTTACTATTACGCCTTTTTTCTTTTTTTCTAAATGTTTGTAAATATGTACTGTACATGTGGTTCTTTGATGTTATTTTTTATTATTTTATTATTTGTTGGGGGTTTGCAAAAAAAAAAAATAATGCCAAATAAAAGTTTTGTTCAAGTTTTGTTCTCAAACTGTTTTTGCAAAAGGTACGAGAGTCCGTGGCCCCTGGGCCTCAGCGGCGTTCGGTGTTGGAGGAGGCAGACACAGGAGAGCAAACCTCCAAACGGCTGTCGGCACGATCTGGAAACCGCTCCGACAGTAGCTCAGGTTTCTCACGTCGGAGGGAGCCAGGACAGAAAACACAGCGCACATCTGCAAAGAATTTATAGCTGCAAAACAAATCAGCTGGCCTCCGGTCGCTTGGTGCAAACCCTGCAAAACTCCAGGTGGTGACAGTACTCTTGTTTGTGTATATATATATTATATATATATAGATTATATTTATATTATATATATGTGTATATATGTATATATATGTGTATATATGTATATATATATATATATACACACACACACACTTAGTTGTATAGCAACTTTGTGAATATGAAGCATTCAATCTCTTGTGATCCATTTTTCTTCTATATTTCTCAGCATTTTTCTCATTCTACAATTTTTTTCAGCATAATTCAGCAACAATGTGCTCGCTCCACTTCCGTCTTGTAATTTCAGCTTCTTTCTGCCTTTTTAGCTACTTTTCATCAGGTTTTTTTTCTCCCCAATTTCAGCTTTTTTAAGATAATTTCAACTTTTTTGTGCTCTTTTCTGCTTTTTTCAGCCTAAATGAGCAAACGTGCTTTCTTCTTCTGCAAATTTAAGTTTATTCTACCCTTTCTGCTACCTTTTTAGCCTTTTTCAGCAACTTTCAGCTGTTTTCAGATAAATTCCAAGTTTTTTTGTGGTAATTTCTGCTACTTTCAGCTTAAATTATTGATACTAATTTTAGCTTATTATGCTCCTTTCATCTTATTTCTGCTAGTTTCAGTTATTTCAGCTACTATTTAGCTGTTATGCTAATTTTAGCTTTTTCAGCGCATTCCACCCTTTTTTTGCATTAATTTCAACTTTTTTCAGTGTAATTCAGCAAATGTGTGCTCTCTCCTTTTCCTTCTGGTAATTTAAGCTTTTTTTCTGCTTTTTTTTTAAACTATTAAGTTTGATTTTCTAATTTCAGCCTTTTTTTTTTCAGGTAATTTCTACTTCTTTGGGCTCATTTCTGCTTCTTTCAGCCTAATTGGACAAACATATGTTCTTCTGCTTATTTAAATTTGTTCTACATTTTTTAGCTACTTTTTTAAGCATGTTAATTGCTACTTTCAGCAATAAGCGTTCACACTGCATTTTTGCAGGAAATGCTATTCGTATTATTTTTCTGCTCCAAGTGTTACGTTATAACGCCGCAGTTCTTTTCATCTGTTTTTCCTCACAAGCCCGGGTACAGTTTTTGGATTCTAGAAACAAGTTTACTTTGACAGAAGTTAAGAGCCTGTGGGTGGACAGTTGGAGTCAGGACGGTCGTTTCTGAAGAGCAACATTTAGCAGCTGTGTGCAGTGGGTTGAGACCAGAACCTCACATCAACAGTCAAGTCAGAAAATGTTTTGTCACAGAACTTTTTTTTAAAACACTCGAGTCTTTCCCTTTTTTGTGACATTATACATTATTACATTATATTTCCAAAGTCTGGATTTCAGTAATAGAAATGTCTACTCTTCTGCTTTTTGTAGTTTTTATTACAGCCTGCCGTCACGCCCGTTACCAAAACATCTCATGACGCACTGGATGAACTTTTTATTTGAACGAAACTCAAAAAGTCATCTTCAAATGAGGCTCGAGTTTGCCTCATTCAAGATGGCTCCCACAGCTCAAATGGCTATAACCTACTATTTTACAGATGTTGACCTAAAGTTGGGCATGGTGGTAGCTGAGCCTGATCTACAACATGTTGCACAAGATCTTTGTACTATTAGCCATTTGGAGGCAACACAATCTGTTATCAAAATAATCATGAATATGGATTTGAATCAATCTTTTAGATAATATTGATTTGATCCGAACATCATTTCTCAACATTAGTTGATCTTCGTCTAAAATTATTTGGGTTTTGTTTTCAGCAAATAACAGCTCAGACGTGATCGACCTCACCATCCTCACTTTACCTTTAAACCAGGCCTATTCAACTGCCGGCCCCCGGGCCATTTCCGGCCCGCGGGTGACTTCAATCCGGCCCACTTTAGAAAAATATATATTTTGGGGGGGTTCTGTTTATTGAATTCATGATTCAATGCAACAAACTAAATTTTAAAGGCAACAGATGTAAAACTTTATTTACATATATAATGACTAATCGCTGGATGTCCAGCCCCCGAGCTGTTGGCTTTCAGAAACTGTGGCCCCCCCTGAGCAGTTTAGTTGAATAGCCCTGCCTTAAACACTCCTCGCTTGTTTGAGCCTGGTGTTCTGAGCCCACCTGCAGTGAAACCTGATGAACTTCGGCTGCTCGTGAGACAAGTCGGTCCTTGTCTAAAACTGCAGAACCCATCTGTCTTTTGTCACGTCGCACAGCTGACCCACTGCCCATGGAAGCCACGCAGGAAACATTTAACGACGGAGCTGCAAAACGTGAACTTTTCATTCATGCGTTTCTCCAAAAAAAGACTTAAAGCACCTGTTAACCATCAGCCCCGGACTGGAAAAGCAGGTGGACGATTTGTCTTCCTGCCTGTAATCACTGGGAGACGGCTGGCCGCTAACGTCTTTAACAGATGCTTTTCTTTCAGAGCTGATGGAGAATATTGGATTTGGATTCATCAGATAATTTGGAAATGCACAAATATTAAATTAATCAAACAGGTTGATGCAAATGGTTAGAAAAGACCAAGTAATGCATCCAAGATGTGGAAGACATTTGGTAAAGCTTACTGAGAAGCAGCTCATTCTGAATATAAATAAAACCACAAAGACCAAACGCTAAAGAAAATACAGTTTAATTACAAATCTTAATGGCTTAGGCATGAAAACATGGCAGCACAATGAATGCAGAGGATATTAAAGACAATAAATAAAATCATATCTACACAGGCAAAAACAAAGCAAAGACGTTTTAGTAGGCAAGTCCTGTCAGAAAAGGCCAGTTAACGCCGCACGTGAGGAATCAGCCGAGATCACAGACGACTGGCGTGCACGAACGGACTGAAGCGTTCGCACGTGCACGCCTTCACAGTGCAGCTGTTCGAGGTTAGAGGGACAGAAGGAGCAGACGGAAATGGTTTCCGTTTGGGGCGATTAAATGCTGCAGGACAGATTTTAAAACAACTCGGAGCTGTTTTCAGTCCGACGAAAAGCACTTTTTTCAATTTTAACTTACGACAGTTTGTTTTAAAGTGTTTAAATAAATCAAGGCATGTTTTGTTTTTGTCTCCACACAATCATAAAGACATAGACAGAAAATAAAGTCTCCCAGTCGACTTGTCCAACTGAATTCTGCTGCTGGGCAGGATGGACTTAAGAGGAAATTGTGAAAGATTTGTATAATTTTTACTTTAGAAAGGAAAAATAATAATAGTTCTTTTTATAAAGGACACTTTAACCACCCTCTGCTTACATCTGTGGGTGGAGACGAGGCTGCAATCAGTTTGGTTTTGCTTGAGAAACACTTCTGCAAATCATTTTCCAACATTAAATGTGTGATGGACATCAGATCAGATGTTCAGTGATCTTTTTCAGCAACTATTAAACTTCCTCTCAAGGAGAACAGCAACGATTTGGAATGAAATTCTGATTATAATAGTCTTTTATTTTATCATTTTTCAATTACTGCATTCTATCAACTTACCAGCAGGGGGCGGTGCTGTAGCTGCAAATTTATTGGACACTTTATAGAAATTTAGGGTTTTAGTTAAAAGGTTTAAAGTTGGTTTTACATTTTATCAAACAAACAGTTGCCAGTTATGTGAATTAATGCCCAGTTTGATGTAAAATGGTTGATGAGCCTCGGCAGGTCATTTAATACACAACTCTCTAGAGGTCAAGAACCAAAACGCAAAGAAGGGAGGGAAGATTTATCTTTTACAAACTCCATAACAGTATTTTCATAAAGAGGTTGTGAGATTTCTTGACTTAATGCTCGTCAAAAATAATTGGAATTAATCTGATCATTTTTGAATAAATGCAACCAATAAAATAACACATTTTTAAACCTTTGAATAAAAAAAAAACAACCTTTTTGACCAAATTTGATGCGAGTGTCTGAAAATATTTCTACGAATCGAGCAGAAAACATTTTTTTAGGTAGACGAACACCGAAGCTTGTCCAGAAACTTCACTGAAAACTCAAATCTGACCTGGAAAAAAGACTTCAAGTTTAAAACACCAACATGTTGGAATGCTTTGTTACGTAAACCCAATACTTAAACTATTTTCACATTCACGTCTTCAAATGTCTCCAAATGGTCAGATCTGGTCATTGTGAATTGAACTGGTCCAAACCGTGACATGTTGCAGCTCAACACACCACCACCCAGAGCGCGAGCTCTCAGGAACGAACTGAGCTCAAGGAAGCAAACAGGACTCGAACGACAGCAGAAATAGTGCTCATATAAACTCTAATTATTAGAGTTTATTAGAGTCTAATACAAACTTTAAAAAAATAAAAGCTTCAGGCATGACAGAGGGAGTGTTTCATCATCAGAATCCGTTAATTCCACCTAAGCTGTTGTGTTGCCGAGTACCTGAGTCCACCTGACAAACCTCTTCACCCCGTTTGTGCTTTCTGATCCTCTCGTCAGCCTCCCTGATCTGCTGCGCGGAGCAACACCGAGCTACGTGGCTCGGTGTCGACGCTGCGACGCCATTTTGGAACGTTGGGTTTCGTTTTTGAGGCCGGCACGCCGTGCATCCGACAGATTTGGTTGGTTTTGTTGCAGCTCCAGTTTGAGGGGGTCGATATTGGCTTCCTGTTGGTTCTAGTGTTGGGTGGTTTGGGGAAAGTGAGGTAGATTAGTCTGGGTCAGGCAGAGGGCGGGGCAGGAGTCTCGTGTTAATCTGGGACAGGAAGTGTCTAAAATCAACCGAACAGAGAAACACAAGTGTAAAAATGAATTCTGGGAGGACAATGACAAAGCTCACTGCGGGGGTGAATGTAAACGCCGAGTGCTTCTGATCCTCCGTCTTTGTTTTCCTAACGAGACGTGCAGAGTACGTGGGCAGAACGACCTAATGCGAGGACCTGGATTTGGAGTGTTTAGCCCTGAGTGCTGGAGGAATCTGGCAACGCTGCGTCACGATCAACTCAAAGTCAGAACCGTCCCGTGACGGAGCCGTGGCTTTCCCTGGATTTTTCCCAGCATGCACGGCTGAGTCGAGACGAAACTTCAAAAGAAAAATCGATTAATAGATTGAGACTTTGTGCGTTTCCAGGTTTGCCTTCCTGATTATTATTATTTTGACTAGACCAAGAAATTAAAACGATGAGAAAAGAGCCGTTAGTACTGCACGTGAACACGTTATGAGAGTACTTCATTAGAATTATTTCAAGCACAATGTTGAACCAGGAGAACGGAGTTGAGCTCGACTCGTCAGATACCATCGAGGGACACGAAGCCCGCTGCGACGGAGCGCTCACATTCATCGGCACGAACACGCACGCCACAGAGCTACTGGCTAACACTTCCACCGAACGGCCACGCCACGATTTGCAAAGAAGCCCATGAAGCACCAAACCGAAGAGCCGCAGCAGCAGCAGCGACCTGCAGGGCTCCTCTGCTGAACAGTCAACGTAGCTTAATGAGAGAATGCACTTAAAGACAGTACTTTGGGGTGGGGGGTGGTGGAGGGGGGGGGGTCTGCCACAGCTCTTGTTAAGCCCCAGCTTAGTGCAGCAGGGTGAAAAACTTGGCTTCAGTTTACAGGCTTTCATTTTCCATGTATCCTGGTACTAGTCGAAGCCTTACATCTCCAAGTTGGGGCTGAAAGTCTTTTTGAGGCTTCACTTCTCCAACAAAATCTAAATAATCTGTTTTCACACAAAAACTTTTTTTTTTTTAGAGAAACAAATACCTGACGCAGTTGATTACAATTGACTTTGGATGCCGTCTTCAGATTTGATTTCTTTCGGAGTAAGTCCCTCTGGTGGCCCTGCAGGAAAGTGCTTGGTAAATGCTGTCCATGATGATGGCACAGAGCAGAGACAAGAGACGGGGGACACGGAGGACGAGCGAGACTGGAGTGACTATGTGGCGATGTGCGCCGCAGAGGGAATGGAGACGAACTCGCGCAGGATGTTCTTGGCCGTTTCCAGGTTGTTCTGAGCGATCATCAGGGCTTTCTGGATGTCCTGGATGGAGTAGCCCTGGGACATCAGGCATTCGATCTCCCCGTTCAGAGCCAAGCTTCCAGAGCCGGCAGCAGCAGCAGGAGGAGGAGCGGGGGGAGGAAGAGGCGGGGGAGAGGCAGAGGAGGGACCGGGGAGCTCTGGCAACGGCGCGGACAAGTCACGGTTGACTGGTCGAGGCCGTCGGTCAGAGTTGGCTCGGCGAGGGAGAGGTCTGGGGGGACGTTCTAGTTCAACAGCAGCTGCAAACGTACCTGGGGTAGTTTGAGGGGGGGGGGGTGGGCACAGGCAAGAAGACAGTCAGTTACGGTGGTATTTCACTGGGTGAGAAATTGTTGCACAGTTAAACAATATATACTTTGGACAGGTGCCGCCATTTTGTAGTTTTCTTTCAATAAGCTTTGACTGTAATGCCAGTCAAAAGAACTACACTACCCAGAAGCCAACAGTGCTTACGGCTGCTGCTTTCTGTTGAAAAGGAGGGTAAGTTTTGCAACGTAAAGTCAGAAGTAACAATCTGTCTATGAAGCTCACAGAACTGGCAGGAAAGACGCAAATAATCCTGAAGCTCAATAATCCAAGTGCACATGAACCTGGACGGGGCGGTGGGCTTCGTCACTGCAGGGCAGGTCTGCAGAACCAGAACCGAGCCCGACTGGATCCGAGCTGCTGTTCTGCAGAGCTGGTGAGTAAAATTTTGCAGTACTGTACAGTACATATACTTATGTTGTCAAATGATGTAGGTTTAAGAGTTTAGAACATTGCAAGAGTGTGGGAAGTGTTTATAAAGCCTTAAAATATATATAAATACTAAAATATAGCGTTCCTACAGCGCGGTTTTTCACCAATCAAGGAACTATAGTAGTCCATCGTTTATTGCGGGTGTTAGGGACCATGCCCACCCGCGATAAGTGAAAAACTATCAAGTATGGATACAGTAGTTCAAGCTGAGTCAACTTTATCATGACGTGTGCCAGGCTGTAATCACACTCATCACCTGTTACTCCCAATCTCCCTGCTTAAATAAACAATTTAAATTTAAATACTGTAACATTTTAAATAAACAGTTCATGCAGCATCGTTTATTTAAAATATTGCATTTAAATTTAAATTGTAGAGAAGTGCAGCAGGACACGAAAGGGATGTCGCACAGCTTCAGCTCTGCAGCACGAAGCAGAAATTAACTTCTTGATCAATTACACTGAAACAACAAGTGAACAAAGAAGTTCCAAAATAATTACAAATACATTTTAATGCTTTTATATTGCGATTATTGTGATTTTTACGATGTGACGTACTTTGAATTTTAAGTTGGAAGACCAAAGTCGATCGGTGCATTTGGACAGCGAAACCGATGCAGAGGAGAAATGTGTGCGTGGCAGAGAAGGAGATCAGCTGATCAGCTGCATAAGCTTTCTCTTGCACTTTTGGGCTGCACACATGGTGCAAAATCATTTAAAATAATTTATTTTAAATAACCCATGGCTCATCCATCAATCAGCCAATTGTGTCATGTCCAATCTTACTTTGAAAATCAGCGATAAACGAACCATGAAGTAGCGAGGGACCACTGCGTTCATGAGGGAGTCTCCCCAATGTTGTGCAACACTTGTGGAGTTCACAACTTCTTTGTGGGAGTCACAGAGAGACCACAGTCCTGTTGCTTCAGTTGTGAACATTTGAAAATTTGAGGGACGCCATCCCCCCCATAAAATAAAAATACTGACCAGCTTCTACTGAAGCATCTATGCTGAGCGAGTTGAAGGCTGCGATGGGACAGCTGATGTCAGACAAGTTTCTTCTGGTGGGGGCAGGAGGGACGACCGGCCGTGGGCAGTCATACCCATAAACATCCTCCACACCCATGTCCTCCTTCTCCTGGGGACCCACAGCTGGATGCTGAGGGTGCTCTGCAAAGCAACATCACAACATGATGCCAGTAAACAAAACAACATGGATGAAGTGAAAGAAAACATTTGTTCAAACTAAGTTTCCTCGGATTCTTTTATGATTTCAGGAAATACATTTGATTTTACATTAGAAAACAAATAAACACAAAAGGTAATTAGTGTTTAAAACTTGGCTCTATTTTAATTATCATTATGACAAATTACTGATTTGAAAACGTGAGTTATAGGACTTCAGCAAAACCTGAAGAATAAATATTTCTATAAAGCTTGTGAGCGTGAACTGAGGAGAGTTACCGAGGTCGCAGGTCTGCGTCGTCTCGCAGGAGCCGGCCTGACTCTGGATGTTAAACATGGATTCGTACACTTGAGGGTCTTCTGAGTCCAAGTCGTCGTCCTCACTACCAGAGGAAAAAAAATATTTAAAAAATGAAGCAACAAATGAAAAAAGTATAAGGAAAGGGGAGGCTGTGGAGCCCCCTAGTGGACACTAAAAATATAATTAGTAAATTTACAGTATCTTGTCAGTGAGGGTCCAAAATGTGTTTTGCAGTCAAAATATTTCCATCTTCAATGATAATCTCATCTGGAACATTAAAAATTTGAATATCCAACATCCTGTTCCTTCTCACAATCATTTCCTCTGTTAATAATTACTGATAATGTTTACGTCAGCTGTTCACTTGTTCCAGGAAGGAACAGGTTCCATAGCTGGGAATCATAATTTTTACACCCCACCCCCCACAACAAAAACAAACAAAACAAAAAATGTCTGGTCTATTAAAAAATAATAATAATGATATATTGTGAATAAAATGGCAAACACACAAACAAAAATAAACGTCCAGATGAGCCGACTGAACGTTGCTGGATTTGTACATATTGTGAATGCATTTCTTAAAAGCAGCAACAGTTTTTGTGTTACTTCTATTCCTGCTGCTGCAGAAGAGTTCAGCGCTGCAAGTTCACCAACACATTTACAGTTTCTAATGATCGTAGTTGTTGAAAAGGCTCGTCAGGTCGAAGCAAGCTTCAAACAAACCTCACCGTGCTGACAGACCTTTCATACGGCAGTAATGTCACCAGCCGTGTCAAAGTATTTTTGGCAACCGTTTTAAATGTAATTACAGTGTTTCCCTTTGTCGAACGGGGGTGGAGAGAGTGGTGACCGAGACACGTCCGTGTTGCGCGTTGTTTGCACCGACAGTGTTTGTGCACGGGGTGGGGTTAAACAGCTCAGCATGAGGGCAATGGTGCGCTACCTTTGTAGCTTTTTAGCTAGCGCACGCTGCTAGCTTAGTGCTACGTCAGTGCCGTTAGTTGTCGAAGGGGCGTGCACGTGTGTTCGGTTCAGTAGGCGGGGTGCACTGCTTGTATAATGGTAGGGGAAACACTGAATTAAATCAGTTTGTGACTAGGCTACGTTCACACTGCAGGTAAAAGTGACCAAACCTGATCTTTTTCCCTTTATCTGACTCATATTTTTATTTTATTTGTCTGACAGTGAGACTTGACTTTTCCAAATGTGGTATTAAATCTGATGCATATCTGATGTTTCTCGTCTGAACCATCATGTCGCTCGTCACAGTTTAAAGTTTAGCGCTCTGCTCGTCTTCAGCTGCGGAACAGAAGTCTAGATGCTTCGTCTTTTTTTTAATTGTCATATGTTGGATGACTGACGATCAACATATGACACCACTGTTGGTTTCGTACGTCGTTTCAGAAGAGCAATTCTGCACCAGAGTAGGCAGGGAGCGGAAAGATCAAATGTAAACACTGGACCAAACAATCATGTTGGATCGTTTCTGATGGGAAAACCACTTCAGAATCGACACACGCATGCTAACGTGTAGCATTAATATTTACTTCTGTAAACACAGCGTGCTGTGTGATGCCAGGTCTTCATCTGCACATGCGGGTTGCTTCAGGGTTCACATTAGAATTTAAACGCAACCTCCATCAGACTCCAGTGTGAACGACCACGCATAAAAATAATCTAATCAAATCTGAACAAAAAATGAATAAATTAATTAAGCATTACGACCTGCAGTGTGAACGTAGCCTGAGGGATAAAGTAATATTTTGTAAGAATTTGTTTGTGTATTTGCTGTAATCATTTCTGCTGTCCAATCAGAAATAACCTATTTAAACTTGCATGTAGGTCTAGAAATTAATGTCCAAAGAGGAAAAAGATAAAAAAAAAAAATAATAATAATAAAAAAAAAAAAAGGCAACAAAAAATATGGGAGGGACATTTCCTACATATTTGTTTGAATGGACTTGTTCACACTTCTGTACAGCCGAAATTACTTTCCTGATAAATTAGCTGTATCCAGTAGTCCGTTGCTACTTCGCGGTTCGTTTTTCATGGACTCGCTCGATTGCATTTTTTTAAAGTACTGTACATGTACATAATATTTTACAAAAAAAAAAAAAAAGTGCTGCCATTTTGTAGTTTTCTTTCATTAAGAACTACATTACCCAGAAGTCATCAGTTCACTTCCCAGAAGTCAACACTGCTCTTTCAACCGCTTCTTGCTGCAAATGGAGGTAGAGTTTTGCAACAAAGTCAGAAGTTCTGTAAGTTCTGTTGCTCACAGGACTGGCAGGAAAGTCACAAATAATTCTGAAGCTGAACTCGTCTTTTGAGTTGTATCTTCACAGCTGAGCAGCTGGGCTGCAGCTGATCCAGAATCATTGCGACCCGGATCCTGGAAGCTGCAGGTGACAGACGGCTGCAGGGTTCAGTCAGGTTCTGGTCGCACGGTGCTCGTCTGGACTGGGCCAGAGGTGGTGGATTAAACCTTGGGCAGCAGCACGCGCACATCAAGCTGGATGGAGCGGTGGGCTTCAGTCATGCTGTACCGGGACTTTTTTTCATCTATCGGGTCGGACCGGAACCGAGCCGCTCCTGTACTGCAGAGCCTGGTAAGTAAAATGTTGTAGCTCCTGTACATATAAGTACTGCATGATGTTAAAATTAGTAGGTTTAGAGGACTGATTTGTGGGCTTCACTGCTGCAGGATAGATCTGCAACGAACCGAGTCCGGACAGAACAGAGATGGACCGGAACCTGAGCCATCGCTGTTCTGCAGAGCTAGTAAGTAAAATTTATAACATATGTTGTTAAAATGATGTAGGTTTAAGAGTTTAGAACATTCCAAGAGTGTGGAAAGGGTTTCTAAAGGTTTAATATAAAGTTTACTGCACTTGAACGGACTACTGTATCCCTATTTCGCGGTTTTTCACTTATCGTGGCGCTTCAGAGTCCGGACGAGGGACTACCGTCTACTCAAACTGACTTGAACTGGGTATAAATGCTGGCACCATGACGCCCCGATTCTTTCACTTACCTGAAGCCATTGTGATTGGTCGTCTGGGTTGGTGGTGGGGGCACCAGGGAGCCTGATAAGACCCAGGGGGTGCTGGAAACTGGGAGGGAGGTGGGACTCATGTACTCGTTCTCCTCAGAATCTGATGATGGCTTTTCTCCACTCGACACCCCTGAGGATGGCAGAGACCTGAACAAAGGAAATCATCACAGGATGCTTGAAATGTTTAGATATTTACACCAATGTGCTTAAAAATGAAACAAAGTACAAGCTGATATGAAGCTCTGTGTATGCTGCTGCTACATCTTACAATCGTAGAAAAAGCCAAATGGGCTAAAAGGAAATATAAAGGTGCACAACTTTAGTGCTGCTTTAAAATCACTGGTTTTGGATCAATGTTGATATGGCAGCAACTCTGACTCACAGCTGAGTCAGAGTTGCTGTTTATCGGTTAGAGTTAACACGTCACTGGTCTGAAATTTTGTTACCACAAAATAGAACTTTATGTGTTTTTAGTCTTCTTGTGTCACTTCTTGCCCGCGACGCGTCATGTCAGCGGTCCTACCTCGCAGCCAGGCAGTAGACGGCGTTGGTCACGGCTTGAGGTTTGGCCGCCTCTCCGTTGGTGCCACCGCTCTGAGGGGCGGAGGACAGAATCGACGGAGCCTTTGTGGCAGGACGTGGGACCATGTAGTTGTCAGCCCAGGCGGGCTGGTCGGGGGTGGAGGGCAGAGGTCTCCTCTGGAATCTGGAGTCCTGGCCTGCGAGGGAGGGTCGCTCAGGAGGGGGAGGAGGGGGGAGCTCTCTCAAGCCAGGAGGAGGAGGTAGAGGCTTGTCCCTGTGAGTGGCTGCAATCTGGGATGTAAACCAGCACAGATGTGAAGACTCGACTCTGGCTGCCACATAAACAACATTTCCTGCTTACTTTACCCAAATTAGAGCACGTGTGGAGCAACATCTGAACAATGTGCTGCTAAATGCACAGTCCCTACATCTTTCTCATTTCCACATTCAAATCTCCAGTTTTTAATTGATATTTGTAGACATTTATTGAATATGAACAGCTGACTGTACACAACAGATGGACAGCAGAACATTTTGCTTCAGATAAAAAGGAAAATTGTTGCCCGTTTTTAAAAAAATGCATGTGTTCTTTAAGACTACTTGCAGCTAGTTGATTACACAGTGTGCGTAACATATGGCAAACAATTAGCATTTATAGAAATCCTCATTTCTGAGTTACAAAAAAAAAAGTTTGGTGAACCTCTGCCCATCTTTACATCAAAGAGGTTCAACTTTTTTAAAATGCTCTTAACATCCAGTCTTCTTACCGACCTGTTGTCAATTAACCCAATTAGCTGAAAATTCACTTCCATCTGTTCTTTTTCGCACCATTTATTTATTTGTTGCTCTTGTTTCAAACTTTCAGAGATGTGCAGCCATTAAAGTTAAAATTACTTTTCCCCCAAAAAAATTGTACTATTTCCCAGATTAAACATTTGATGTTTTACTATGTTTGGTTATTAATAAAATATGGGTTTATGAGATTTGCTAATCGTTGGATTTTGTTTTTATTTATAATTTACACAGTATCCCAACTTTTTCAGAATTGGGGTTATAGCACATATTGATATTTTGAGAGGTTCCCATAAAAATTATGACCATAGTAATATACAAACAATTGAGTTATCTCTCTTTATATTTTCCTTCCAAAGAGCCAGATTGTGGAAGTAAAACATTAGGTCTGGTTTAAAACTTGGAC